TGGCCCATGACTGCCAGCAGCACTGAACAGTGAACAGCCAGCAGCAGTAATTTACTATGGTTTAGTGTTTTATTTTTACTGATGTTAGGCAGGAAAACACAGCAGGATAATCCCCAGGATATCTGAAATGATCCTCCCTGGCTCACTGAGGGAACTTGGCCTGGCTTGGCACAGCTGGAAGGACCAGACCCCAGCAGGTCCTGAGGTTTGCTCAGGAACTTCTCATTTCTTGCTGCTCAATAACACTGGAAACAAATGAGCTTTTCCCACATTCCCACACCCAGATTTTCCAACCCAACACATTCCTGGTGTTGCTACAGGAATATTAAACAGGGGAAAAAGGGGAGTGGCTGGAAATGTTCCACCCCACGGAACAAGTCCAGTTATCATCATTTCCTGGGGAAGGTGGGAGGGAGGCAGCACAAATTCCCCCTCCCTGAGGCACCTCAGGAACAAAGCCCCAGACATTCACCCAGCTCATCTCCACCAAATCACACCAGGGCTTCACCTCCGTCGTGTTTTAGCACCTGAAAATTCCATCTCCAAAGCCACTTCTGCCCTTTAAACCCAGGATTTGGTGTGTGGTTACAGGAGAGGCTGGTGGAGGGAGAAGGCAGAAGAAAGAAGGTTTAAAAATTTCCGAAGTGAAATGGAGCCAGAGCGAGGTTTCAAAACTGTGTTAAAATAAATTCCTCCTCAAATGGTCTTTGCTTGGATCAATATGTGAATAAATATTCTGACATTGCATTAAAACAGTGGAAAATCGTTGTGTGGATTATTTGATTTATGTGGAAGAGAACACATCCAGCCCAGAGTGGAGCAGCAGGGAAGGGTCTGCTCTGGGCCCTGCAGGGACAATTTGGATGTGACAATTTTTGTTTCACGTGTCCATGGCCTCATCACTCCCCTCTGGGTGAAACAGGAGGAAACTCTGCTAAAAGAATAAATTCTGCTAAAAGAATAAATTCTGCTAAAAGAATAAACTCCCTTTGGGAATCACCTCCCCTGTCTGCCAGTGATGCATGGAAGAAAAACTTGTACTGCTCTTGTTTCTGGTTCAGTCATAAAAACTACATTTATTTTAAAAACGTATTTACAAACTTTACAACAATCATTACATTTCAAAACCCCACAGAAATGTGTACACCTTGCTTTACAGATTGAGTGAATCATGTGGCATTTGCCCAGAGAGCTGCAGTCCCTTCCCAAGCTCTCTCCAGAGCCACTTTAAAGCTGAATTTTTTATTGATTCAGTTGCAAAGGACTGAAAAAACCCCAAACATTTTATTTCAGTCTGCACTGAAACCACCAACCCAGGATCCCAGAACACAACAACTCCTTCCACAACACCCAAATCCTCCTGAACTCCCAACAATCTCATCCCAGGGTTCAGAGTGATGAAACCTCTGTAATACCACAGTGAGAAATATTAATCCAATGTACATTGGGGTGAACTCTGCCTAAAGACACAAACCAGCACCACATGGACCTGAAAAATGGGTTAAGGTGTGAACCTCCTTTGAGTAATCCCTGTAGTGCCCAAAATGTCCTAAAGTGCTTTAATTAATGTTCAGAGAGAAGAATCAGGGGAACCTCGTGCTTTGAACAGCCATTAAATCACATTATTTGTTTATTTTTCCTCCCTGCTGCAGTCTTTGGAAAAGCTTACCCTGGTCCACCACAGGATTTGGTTTGCAACAGCAAAAATAAGGTCAAGTTTTTCATTAAAATAAAAATAATCAAAAGAAGGTAGCAGAAGCAGGTCAGCAATGTTTTCACTATATAAAACAATTTAGATAAATTACAGACTTAAAGTGATTATTTCCATTTACAATGGTAAAAATAAATAAGGAGAGGAAAATGTGGGGCATTGTCACTGCAAGTGCAGCTCAGTGTGAGCTGGAGCAGACGCTGGGTGGGAGCAGGAGCCCCAAAATCCCCTGCACATCCCTGTCCTTCCCTAATCCAATAATCCAAAACTGCCTGCTCCCCCCTGCCCCCGCCACATTTCTAAAGGAATTTATCCCAGCATGACAAATTTTAATTAAAAGCTCCAGAAAACAAGTGTTGAGCACATTTCTCCCAAGGAGAAAAACTGAAATCCTCCAAGAGTTGAAATTTCACAGCAGCTTTGAGCAGCTTGGCTCTGAAATGGGATTAGGTTTTGTCTCCTCTGCAGAGGGGATGTTTTAACTCTGAGATTTTATTCAAAACCAGGAATTGGGCAGAAATTGCTGCAATTTGTGGTGTGCAGAGATCATCATTATGGAATGTCCTCTTCCCATTTGAAACCCTCCAGCTGAAAACACATTGGAGGCATTTCCTAAAGCACCCAATGAACCTGAAGAGATGATTCTCATTTACAGAAACAAGGTAGAGACACCTTAAACTGCCTCTGCAAATGAAATCTCACCCAAGCAAGGAGCAAACACTTCACACAATGAAGGTTCCAGTGGGATCTGTCCTAAGAGTGGGCACTTCACTCATTTAAAATCACTTTAATGCCCTGCTCTTCCTCACACACTTAATGCCCAAATGCCTTTAAAAATCAGACACTTGGATGATTTTTCCCCCCAAAACTGACTCAAAGCCCTGAATCATCTGGGCACAGAACAGAAATTCCATCTTGCACCTCTGAGCCAGTGATGCCAACTTTTATCAGCCAGGTAAGAGAACTGGACACCAAACTGGGGACACTGCCAAAAGGAGCAGGAGTGGGACAAGTTTAAAACTCTACAACATAAATAATGCTGAGAAAGCAAAAAACAGAACCAAATTTAGAGTCCTTTGTGGCAAATTTGCCAGTGAAATGCCCAAAATGTGCTGGGAAGGGACACCGAAGAGTTCTGAACTCTTTGGGGTGAGCTGCTCCTCCCCTCCCAGTCAGGGGGTGCCCATCCCAAACTGGGCAGGCATAGGGGGCACAGGAGAACCTGAACTTGTGAGCAGCAAAGCCAGGTGAGGTTTAAGGTGAGAGGAGCAATTTCAAGGCAGGGCAGAGCTGAAGGTGGCAGCTGCAGAGAGGGAGGGATAATTCACCACCACCATGCCAAGGATCTGCTCAAAATCCTGGTCTGTAGCTGCAGAAAGCGCAGCCAGAGCCAAATCTGAGAGCCAACAGCTGCTTAAAAATCAGCTGAAAAATTCTTGCCAAGGTCAGACCTCCTCCTGTGAGTGTTTTCTGCATGGAGTTTTCCTTCTCCAGGAAAAAACCTGGATGCAAAAGGCACCTCCATATGTTAAGGTGGTTAGAGCAGAACAAAAAGGCTGCAAAGAGGATTCCAAAGTCACTGAGAACCAAACCACCCAAACCTGACAGCTCAGGCTGTTTGCCCACACCAGGGAAACCATCCTGGGATCCCTGTTCAGCCTGCCCTGCTCCTGCTGAGCCACTGAGTTAAACCCAACCTGTCTGAGGGGGGGGGAAAGGCACTGAATGGACACCAGGTGCTGTCAGGATGCACCTCAGACAGCTCAGAGCACATCCTGCTGCTCTGCCTGCAGCACAACCCTCAGCCCACACAAAAAGCTGCTCTGAGGGGAACTTTCAGAGCATCCAGGGAGGGAGAGCGCACAGGAAATGAAGGGCAGGAAAACCCAGAGGTTTTGCAGTCAAGCAGTGTCTGTGTCAGGAACACAAGGAGGAGCTGACAGGTCACACAGTGCCCCAAGGAGGGGAAAAGCTGCCCAGGGTGCCCAGGGAGGCTCCCAAGAGCTCCCCTGAGGAGCAGCAGCCCGGAGGCAGCTGGAATGTGTGCAGCAATCAGGCTGGGGATGGATGGGATGTGACTGCAGTGCCACCTCCAGAGCAGCTCCAGGCTGGAGCTGATGGCACTCTGGGATGATGTGGGATGAGGGCAATCTGCTTCCAGCCCCTGCAGCCACACTCATGTCAAAAGAATTGGGAAGGACAAAAGAAAACGACAACTTCAGTCTGAGCAAAACCCTCCTGGGGGTGGTTTTTGTTGGGTTGGGTTTGCTTTTCCCTGAAAAAGACTTTGCTGAGGAAACTTTTCATTAGGTTTAACAAACTTTGGTTTTTCAGTAAGGTCAGAAACTTCTTTCAGTCAGGGGAGCACAATAATGGCACATGAACCCCCAGCCCAACAATAATTGCATTTCCTGCTGTGAGCAGGGTTTTAGTGGCTCCTCCCAACTCCTACAAGATAATCAGAAGCAAAGTGACAGAATGAACAAACAAAATTATTTCCTGGAAGAGAAAGCAAAATCTTCATCAATATTGATGATAAATAAAGAGGCCGTGAGCTGTTTGTGGAACTGGTACCAGTAAAGTCCTGGTGTCAGTGCAGTGGTGCCAGTGAAGTTCTGCCATCAGTGCAGTGGTGCCAGTCCAGCCCTGGCCAAAGTGCAGCTTCTGTCACCTCCAACATTCACAGGATGCTTTTCCCACCCCATTAAAAGCACAAATGAGATCTTGTACCAAAGCAAGCAGAGCTGGGCACAGACCCTGAGCCCTGCAGTGGGATCAGCCAGGATTCCCAGGGCACTGGAGGAGCTGCTGGCATTGCAGCAGTGACCAACTGAGGACAGACAGGCCCAGGAGGGAGAGGAACTGCAGCAGGGACAGGTCAGGATCAGTGTGTGAGCAGGGACAGGTCAGGATGAGTGTGTGAGGGACAGGTCAGGATGAGTGTGGCAGGGACAGGTCAGGATCAGTGTGTGAGGGACAGGTCAGGATCAGTGTGTGAGCAGGGACAGGTCAGGATGAGTGTGGCAGGGACAGGTCAGGATCAGTGTGTGAGCAGGGACAGGTCAGGATCAGTGTGTGAGGGACAGGTCAGGATCAGTGTGTGAGCAGTGCACAGGCAAACACAGCGAGGGAGCCCAGCCCCAACCACGATTCATCTGTGGGATTTGCCAGGAAAGCTCCAGGGCAGGGGTGGAAGGAAGGAAGGCAGGGGAGATGCCAGGGCAGGGTGGTGCCAGGCTGGCAGGAGATGAAGCACCACTGCAGGCTGGCACTGCTGGCACCCCCAGGCTCAGGGCAGCCCCTGCTCCGAGGACACCACGCTGGATTTCCTGGTTTTGGGGGGTGGAGGGGGAGGTTTGGCCTCTCGCCTGCTGGGCAGCGCTGGAGCAACCTGGGGAGATGGAAACACAACAATAAACCACTGCAAGGAGTGCAGGGCATTCTGCTTCACCAGTGAGAAACCCAAAGTCCTGATGGCTCCCTCAGGAGCAAAGCCTGGAGTTCAGCCTCAGCTCCACACACAGGGCCAAGCAAGGACAGATCCCCAGAAGCTGAAATGTTTTAGTTGCTAGAGCAGGCCCAGGACACACTTTAATTGCTCCTGACCTGCAGCCTAACTTCAGCATTTATCTCTGCTTTTGGTGAAATGTAAAATGGCCACAAACCTATTTCCTTCCAGGTTTCAAAACCCATTTCCAAACCCATTTCCTTCCAGGTGTCAAAATTCAGGTTTTTTCCTCCTGCTGGCTGGATGAGCTGCCCCAAAAGGATGTAAAATGTGTTCAAATGAGAATGGCAAAACTTTACACCCTAACATGGAAGCAAGGGCAGCTGAAATTAAACAAGCCACATCCTGTCTGCCTGCAGAGGGGCTTGGAGGGCGTTTCTTGCTCTTGCAGGGAACTGCACTGAGGGAGGGGGGGTTTCATGCTGTCTCTGCCTGTTTTAAGGGGCATCCTGGAAATAAATGAGATGGGAAAGGCCAGGAGAGGGAGGAGGTTGTGTGGTTCATCACTCCTCAGCCAAACCCCAGCATTTCAGGATTGTTTTATCCACAGGAAGACAGACCCAACTTCACAGCACCAAACTAACAAACCCTTCAGAAAACCCTCCCCAGTCTCCCTTTGCAGCCCTGAGAATCCTTTCCCTCTGGCTGCCAGCCAAGGGCATGCTGCAGGCCAGGACATGGCAGTAATTAGTTTCCTCACAAGACCCAAGGGAAGGAGGCTCTTTTATTAATCCTCTTGATCCAGTGACTCCCACAGCATCCCTGGAGCTGGGATCTCTCTGCTGGGCACAGCAGCCACAGTCACTTCCAGCCAAATCAAGGGCAAAGAAGCAAAACTTCCCCTGATGCCATATTTCAAGGCTTTATTCCAGTGTCACAACACTGAATTAAGTGATGAGCTGTTTCCTTGTCTTCCTGTGCTGCTAAAGTAGTTAAGTGTGATCCCTCTCCAAATTCTTTTTGGACAAATCCCAGTTTATCTCACCAAGGTACCCCCAAATCCTCTCTGCAAACTGGACTGGGGGAGACACCCTTCCCTTTCAGCTGCAAAAGGGAATTCCTGACAGGTTTTGGGAAGGCTCCATCCCTGTCTCAGTCACAACAGGATCCCTTCTCTGCTTCCCACTGCTAAGGAATCAGTCTGACACCACCAGCACCTTCATTCCAGGGGCAGGTGAAACGATTCTGACACAAGATTTGCATGTCAGGGAATCCCAAACAGCCTGGAGACACCCAGGTGTGAGAGAAACATCAGTGATGCAGCACTGACAGGGGCAGTTTGATATTCACTGACACAGGGGCAGTTTGATATTCACTGATTAGGGGCAGTTTGATATTCACTGACAGGGGGCAGTTTGATATTCACTGACAGGGGGCAGTTTGATATTCACTGACACAGGGGCAGTTTGATATTCACTGACACAGGGGCAGTTTGATATTCACTGACAGGGGGCAGTTTGATATTCACTGACACAGGGGCAGTTTGATATTCCCTGACACAGGGGAAGTTTGATATTCCCTGACACAGGGGCAGTTTGATATTCACTGACAGGGGCAGTTTGATATTCACTGACACAGGGGCAGTTTGATATTCCCTGACACAGGGGAAGTTTGATATTCACTGACACAGGGGCAGTTTGATATTCACTGATAGAGGGCAGTTTGATATTCACTGACACAGGGGCAGTTTGATATTCACTGACACAGGGGCAGTTTGATATTCCCTGACACAGGGGAAGTTTGATATTCCCTGACACAGGGGCAGTTTGATATTCACTGACAGGGGCAGTTTGATATTCACTGACACAGGGGCAGTTTGATATTCCCTGACACAGGGGAAGTTTGATATTCCCTGACACAGGGGCAGTTTGATATTCACTGACAGAGGGCAGTTTGATATTCACTGACACAGGGGCAGTTTGATATTCACTGACAGGGGCAGTTTGATATTCACTGACACAGGGGCAGTTTGATATTCCCTGACACAGGGGAAGTTTGATATTCCCTGACAGGGGGCAGTTTGATATTCACTGACACAGGGGCAGTTTGATATTCCCTGACACAGGGGAAGTTTGATATTCCCTGACAGGGGGCAGTTTGATATTCACTGACAGGGGCAGTTTGATATTCACTGATAGGGGCAGTTTGATATTCACTGACACAGGGGCAGTTTGATATTCCCTGACACAGGGGCAGTTTGATATTCACTGACACAGGGGCAGTTTGATATTCCCTGACACAGGGGCAGTTTGATATTCCCTGACAGGGGGCAGTTTGATATTCACTGACACAGGGGCAGTTTGATATTCCCTGACACAGGGGCAGTTTGATATTCACTGACACAGGGGCAGTTTGATATTCACTGATAGGGGCAGTTTGATATTCACTGACACAGGGGCAGTTTGATATTCACTGACACAGGGGCAGTTTGATATTCACTGACACAGGGGCAGTTTGATATTCACTGATAGGGGCAGTTTGATATTCCCTGACACAGGGGAAGTTTGATATTCACTGACACAGGGGCAGTTTGATATTCACTGACACAGGGGCAGTTTGATATTCACTGATAGGGGCAGTTTGATATTCACTGACACAGGGGCAGTTTGATATTCACTGACAGGGGCAGTTTGATATTCCCTGACACAGGGGCAGTTTGATATTCCCTGACACAGGGGCAGTTTGATATTCCCTGACACAGGGGCAGTTTGATATTCACTGATAGAGGGCAGTTTGATATTCACTGACACAGGGGCAGTTTGATATTCATTGACACGGGGCAGTTTCATATCCCTGCACTGACACAGGGGCAGTTTGATATTCCTACAAGAAAATCACTCCATGGAATTGAGACAAAGGGCAGGATTTAAATACAGGCTTTTAAAAGTCACTGATGGTTTGAAAAATCAGATTCTGCTGGGCTGAGGCTTAGGAGGAGACACTAGAAACCTCTGAAAATTGTGATTTTCCCCCCCACACTTCCTTTTCAGCCCAAATTATTGCAGTATTTTAGGCTGATCATGTTTTTGAAACTTTTGCTGCTGGTGTGTTTTCCATGCCTCTTCCCACTCCCACACATTTTTTTCCTGACCAAGGACAACACAAGTCCCACTTGGAAAAAGAAATAATAAAGGCACTGCATTCCACTGCCTTCTCCTGAAGCAAAACCCCTTTTTTCCTTCTTTTGTGGTTTCAGGGAGGGAAGCAGTGAAATGATGAGACAGGTTTCAAGCAGCACCACCCCAAGATCAGCCTGGAACATTGCACTGGTGCCTCCTGCTCCCAGCTGCTCTCCAGGAGCTGTCAGCCCCCATTTCCTCACCTCCACAGAGTTCCTGGGGGTGCTGCTCTCGTAGGGTTTGCTTTTGGGGGGAGGGGGGGGTGGTGTGGCCAATCCATCAGCCTGCAACGAGGGGGAGCCTGGGAACAAGAGAAGAAATAACAAAAAATAAGGAAAAATTAAGAACAAACAAGAAAAATAAAAAAAGAACAAATAAGAAAGGTGAAAAGGGAAAGGGCAATGGGGTTGCACACAGATTTTAAGGGAGATTCATTCAATGCCTTCTGTGAGCAGCTCCTGCTCCACACTGAGCTGCCTGGCTGTGCTGGGCGCAGCTGAGCTCCCCTCCAGCTTGTGAGAGTCTGTTGGAATTTTCCCTCATCTGCCTCACGATTGCCCTTGGGAGACCACTGAAGAGAAGACCCCCCTTGTCTATATCTGGCTCTGAAGGAGAACAGTCACACACCACAGGCCCTGAGACCTGAAAGCTCAGTGTTATTTGTTTTCACAGGAGTGTTTGCTGTATGCTAAGAAGGGGCACCGTGCCCCGTTTGCAACAATAGCAGCTCTGGAAGCTGTCCCAGCTCTCGGCCTGGCTGGACTTCTCCTGAGTTTTAGGTGGTCTCCCACAGAAGACCCTCATCTGTTTTACAACCACCGTGACAGACAGACGGAGATGTGAGAAGCTTCTCCATCAAGGACTGAGACATGAAACTCCTAACAGGCCCCTCTGCTCCTTCCAAGGACTGGGACTGAAACCCCCAGCCCGGGGGAGGTGTGTGCGGGAGGCAAGCTGATTGAGGCGAGATGTTTGCCTGCAGATTGTGACCACTGGAGCAAGAAAACAAAGGTTCTCGCTTACTGCTGAGAACATAGACCAGCTGTTACATCTGTTCCCTATTGCATCTGTTTCCCCCCCCTCACAATTTTCAGTAATAAAAACCTCTGAGTTAGCCAGAGCCTTTGAGATCTCCCCAGCGTAGCAGGCGGACCCTCGGCTGGACTGCACCAAAGGACTTCGTCTCTGCGTTGGTAGCTATATCCCCTCTCCCTCTCTCTCTCTCTTTCTCTCTCTTTTTCTCTCCCTTAATCCCTCTATCGCATTTTTGCTGTAATTATTTCAATAAAACTGCATTTGTTTTGATTATCACTGCAAATCCCCTTGGACCGTGTTGGTGTTTTGCAGTCTGAGATCATTCCTACGAACCATCAGGTCATCTGTCCACTAGGACGGACCCTGACACAGCTCCCAAAGCCCTGAGGAGGTTCCCCTTCCCCGAAGGCCCTGAGCTGCCCCAGGGAGCAGCAAACTCCTTCCATCAGCACATCTGGGGTGCTCCTGGGGCTGCCCTCAGAACTCACTGTGATCTGAGCTCCAGCTGATGGAGGAGACAAAACCCAAACTCCACAAGGATTCCAGCAATTAAAGCCTTGCTAAGGAGAGGAGAGGTTTTACATTCCTTTTACAGATCTTTCTTCACTAAGTTCCTGAATTTGTTTCTGGTTGTCTCCCCAACTCATCCCCTGCCCTGGTGAGGATTTTTTTGTTTTCATCCTCTCATGAGAATTTTATGCTGGTTTGGATCATTGACTGCACTGGATTCTGACTGGGTACCCACACAGAGCCAGCCAGGTCCTGCCCAGGAACTTCTGTTCCTCTCAAAAAGACCAGCAGCCAGAAATGCAGCAGCCAGGCAGTTCTAGGGGTGGAACTGCCCAGGGATTTTTATTTTTACCTTAAGCCACATTTAAAGGTGCTGCAGAATTAACCACAGAACTTCCTGAATATCCAATAATAGGCTTTTTTTCCCTCTTCTCTTCCAAGATCAGATTATTGTGCTGTTTTAGATTCAGCATGTTTTTGAAACCTTTGAAATGATTCATTTTGTTAATTCTTGAAGACAAATCCCACCTCCTTCAGGTGGAACACTGACAGCTGAATGCCCAAGCTGCACAGCAAGCTCTGCTACAACTCTGCCACGTGAGGGGAGTTCATTCATTAATGAACAGAGCCCTCAGGGCTTGCATTGATCATTCAGCCCAGAGCTGATCCCAAACACCCCGGGATCCCTGCAGGCCCTCCTGGGATCCACTGGAGATGCTCCTGCACACCTGACTGGGGATTCACAGCCATCTGCACTGACTGCACTGCTGTTTGCTTCAGGGTTAACAAACCTGCCCAAAATTCAGAGTCATGGGACAGGAGGGGTTGGAAGGACCTGAAATCCCACCCAGTGCCACCCTGCCCTGGCAGGGACACCTCCCACTGTCCCAGATTGCTCCTTGGGCACTGCCAGGGATCCAGGGCAGCCACAGCTCCCTGGGAATTCATCCCAGCCCCTCCCCACCCTCCCAGGGAGGAATTCTGTCCCAAATCCCAACTAACCCTGCCCTCTGGCAGTTTAAAACTGCTCCTCTGTCCCATCACTCCAAACCCCTGTGAAAAGTCCCCCCACATCCTTCTTGTCCAGGTCAGTACAGGAAAAAACAAGAAAGGAACTGAGAAACCCAGAAACTGTTCCCTGGAATTCCTGTTTTGCAGTGCTTCAACAAGTGCAAGGCACAGATCTGCTCTTTGATACCACAGCCAAATTCTGTTCTCTGACAAAAATGATAACCCCTGTTCTCCTGGGAAACTGAGGCAGGGACGCCTGCAATGCACTGGGGACAATAACTGCACTCCAGAGGCTGAACTGGGGCTCAGCCCCCACTGTTTGTGCTGCAAACCCCTGTCTGTAAAATGGAACAACACCACCACAGACCTCCAGGAACATTTTTCATGTACTTCCATGGAGTAAATCTTGATTTTTGAGATTTCCAACAACCCCGAGCTGTGATCTGACTCAGAGCAGCCCCTCCCTCCCCCAGCACCCACAGAGCCATTCCCACCCCATCCCACCCCATCCCATCCCATCCCATCCCATCCCATCCCATCCCACCCCATCCCATCCCATCCCATCCCACCCCATCCCATTCCATTCCCACCCCATCCCATCCCATCCCACCCCATCCCATCCCATCCCATCCCATCCCATCCCATCCCACCCCATCCCATCCCATCCCATCCCACTCCATCCCATCCCATCCCACCCCATCCCACCCCATCCCATCCCATCCCACTCCATCCCATCCCATCCCACCCCATCCCACCCCATCCCATCCCATCCCATCCCACCCCATCCCATCCCATCCCATCCCACTCCATCCCATCCCATCCCATCCCACCCCATCCCACCCCATCCCATCCCACCCCATCCCACCCCATCCCACTCCATCCCATCCCACCCCATCCCAGGACTCACTCAGGGTCCGGGGGGTTTTGGGGGTGATGGGGGGAGGGCTCTGGGTGGGTTGCTGCATCGAGGGTCCCTGCAGCAGGGTCAGCCTGGTGTCCCCCAGCTGCAGACTCTTGGGCCTCTGGGCCCTCCCTGCTGGGCCCTGCTGGGAACAGAGAGAGACAGGGGTGAGCACAGCCAGGGAACCCAGAACTGTCACAGACACAAACACAGAGATGTGAGCACAGCCAGGGAACCCAGAACTGTCACAGACACAAACACAGAGATGTGAGCACAGCCAGGGAACCCAGAGCTGTGACAGGGACACAAACACAGAGATGTGAGCACAGCCAGGGAACCCAGAGCTGTGACAGGGACACAAACACAGAGATGTGAGCACAGCCAGGGAACCCAGAGCTGTGACAGGGACACAAACACAGAGATGTGAGCACAGCCAGGGAACCCAGAACTGTCACAGACACAAACACAGAGATGTGAGCACAGCCAGGGAACCCAGAACTGTCACAGACACAAACACAGAGATGTGAGCACAGCCAGGGAACCCAGAGCTGTGACAGGGACACAAACACAGAGATGTGAGCACAGCCAGGGAACCCAGAGCTGTGACAGGGACACAAACACAGAGATGTGAGCACAGCCAGGGAACCCAGAACTGTGACAGACACAAACACACAGAGGTGAGCACAGCCAGGGAACCCAGAGCTGTGACAGGGACACAAACACAGAGATGTGAGAACAGTCAGGGAACCCAGAACTGTCACAGACACAAACACACAGAGGTGAGCACAGCCAGGGAATCCAGAGCTGTGACAGGGACACAAACACAGAGATGTGAGAACAGTCAGAGAACCCAGAGCTGTCACAGACAGCAGGGACAGAGAGGTGAGCACAGCCAGGGAACAGCCAGGGAACTGTCACAAACACAGGGACACAGGGGTGAGCATAGCCAGGTGACCTACAGCTGTCACAGTGTCCCAAACAGAGACACACAGGTAAGCACAGCCAGGGAATCCAGAACTGTGACAGGGATACAAACACAGGGACACAGGTGAGCACAGCCAGGTGACCCAGAGCTGTCACAGTGACACAAACACAGAGAGGTGAACACAGCAAGGGTATCCAGAACTGTCACAAACACCTAGAACAGAGAAGTGAGCACAGCCAGGGAACCCAGAGCTGTCACAAACACAGAGAGGTGAGAACAGCCAGAGAACCCAGAGCTGTCACAAACACAGAGAGGTGAGAACAGCCAGAGAACCCAGAGCTGTGACAAACACAGGGACACACAGGTGAGCACAGCCAGGTGACCCAGAGCTGTCACAAACAAAGAGCTGAGCACAGCCAGGTGACCCAGAGCTGTGACAGTGACACAAACACAGGCACAGAGAGGTAAGCACAGCCAGGTGACCCAGGGCTGTCACAGACACAGGGACACACAGGTGAGCACAGCCAGGCGACCCAGAGCTGTCACAAACACAGACACAGAGGTGAGCACAGCCAGGGAACCCAGGGCTGTCACAGTGTTGCAAACACCTGGAACAAAGAGGTGAGCACAGCCAGGTGACCCAGAGCTGTGACAGTGACACCACACTTGGCACAAGGGGTGAACAGGAGTAAAGCCCTGCCCTGCCCTGGCAGTGCCACAGGCACCTCTGTGCTCCCAGGACACAGCCCAGCTTCCCCTGGACTTCCTGAGCAGCACTAAACTGCTTTTAGTGCTATTATTAATGTATTAATTAGTTGTATTAATTAAGATATATTAATTAAGGTGGGAAGATGTTACACTGAAAAATTGCTGCAGTTCTGTGAATAAACTTGGAGGGGAGTGAGGGTGAACTCTTTCCAAGAAATAAAGAAAAATAAAATTCTGGGTGCAGGTCAGGGCTGCTGGTATCCTCCAGCTCCTGAGGCTGTGAAATGAGTCTGTTTTAGGCTTTACAGAGCAAATCCTTTGCATTTGGGAATTTATATCCAGCTCCTTCCAGTGTCACACCCTTTGTGCTCTTCACTCAAACCACGAGGCCACCTCAGTGTGGCCCCAAAAGTGCAGTGCCCAGTACTGGGGTCCTTTGCAACATTAGTTCGTTGCTTCCCAGAGCAGGCTGTCACCCAAACACATCAATAATTCCTTGTCAGAGGTCAGTTCCACATCCCTGAGCAGCTCAGGATCTCTCCCTGCACAGGAGGGAGCATACACACAAAGCCCAGGCAGTCTCTGCCTCCCTCTGCCTTTCCAGCTCAGTCCAGAGCTCCAGAAAATCCCTCAGTCCAACTCCTGCCCTCACTGTGGAGCCATGGAGCACAGCGGCCACAAAAGCAGCTTTTCCTGGGCTTTGCAGCATGCTGAGGCAGGACTGGAACCCTGGATGGCTCCTTCCCTTCAGAGACATTGGGGATTTCATCCAACAGCAATTCCAGAGGCAGAGGGCCAGGCCTCCTGCAGCTCCAACATCCACAAGCCAAATTTTCCTGGGCTGGAAATGCTGTCAGTCCCAGTGACAGCACCCTGGCACCACAGCTCCCCTTCCTAGAAACACTCTGCAGCCTCCAAGAGCTGGCAGCATCCCCCAGAGCTGATGGGAATTCCTGAGCACGGATCAGCATCACCTGTCCCTGCCAGATTCAGCTGGAGAGGAAAGGGAAGCACAGGAATTTCTGTTTTCTTGGTACTGTGAAAAATGAGCCTGTGTTAAATCAGATCAACAACCGGCTTCAGTGAGATGAGGAGCACTGAAATACCCAGGTGCCCAGTTCTCTCAGCTTCAGAGTGTAGCACAGCTTTTACATCCATCAGGACAATATTTCAAGGTGTAACACAGTTTTTATGGCCATTGGGACAATATCCTAGGGTGTAACACAGTTTTTACATCCATCAGGACAATATTTCAGGGTGTAGCAGTTTTTACATCCATCAGGACAATATCCCAGGGTGTAACACAGTTTTTACATCCATCAGGACAATGTCCCAAGGTGCAACACAGTTTTTATGGCCATCAGAACAATATTTCAAGGTGTAGCACAGTTTTTGCCATTGGGACAATATCCCAGGGTGTAACACAGTTTTTATGTCCTTCAGGACAATATCCCAAGGTGTAGCACAGTTTTTACATCCATCAGGACAATATTTCAAGGTGTAGCACAATTTTTACATCCATCAGGACAATATTTCAAGGTGTAGCACAGTTTTTACATCCATCAGGACAATGTCTCAGGGTGTGGCACTGTTTTTACGTCCATCAGGACAATGTCCCAAGGTTGTACAGCTCTACCTGTGGGCTGAAACTCCTCCCTGTGCTCTGGGTGACCCCTCTGACCCCACTGGGAGCCCTAAAGCCCAGCAGCCTCTGCTCTGCTCCTCATCCCAGGAGGAGGATTCTGTTTATTCCTCACCAGTGACCACCCTGCCCTCCCAGGGGCTGCAGCAGAGCCCAGCCTGGCAGCTCCAGCCTTCCAGAGGTGCTGACAGAACCCCCAGAGCATCTTCTCCCACCAGCCTGACCCATCCCAGGGCTCTGCACCTCACAGCACACTGCATTTGTGCAGGGCTGCTGCCTGAGAGCAGCTCCACATCTGGCTGGCAGCTGGATCCTGCCTGGCTGGGCAGGGGGTCCTTGCCCCAACCCCAACAGGGCTTGGCCACGGTGCTGAGGCACCCAGGGCTCAGCTCAGCTCAGCTCAGCTCAGCTCAGCTCAGCACCTCCTGCTCCCAGGCGGCACCTCCAGCCAAGCTGCACTTGGGGCTGTGACAGGAATTTTCCAAATAAAGAAGAGAATTGCTCGGATGACTGAGCCTTGCTGGTATTTGAGCCCCTCCCAGTGTTTGCTGAGCTCCCCCCGAGCAGCAGGGCTGAGGGCAATGGAAACTCAGCTCCTGCTGGGGTTTATTACTGCTGTCATTACTGGCATGGGGCTTTTACCATTTTGGAAGTGACTTCTGTTTCTGGCTCCTTCTCCACAATAACCTGAGACTTGCTAATGCTCCACTCCTTCCTCTTGAGTTTGCTAATCCTGTTGTCACCATCTTCTTTCACAGGCAGCTCCTCAGCTCTGGAAGATGTGGATATTCTCCTCTCCAGGAGAGGCTCCAGGGTAGATCTGTGGCCCAAAAGAGTGAGAAAAACATGAAACATGAATCCATCAGACATGGCAAGGGCTGGCTGTTAAAAAGCTGTGATCTCTCAGTTTGTGGAAGGGGTTATTGTGAAACAGTGAGGCAGGAGCATGGATTTTTCAGTGGGATTTGTGCTGTTACCCCTGGAATTCTGAGTGAGATGTGGTTTTTGTCCAGGGTAAAGTGTGATCTGCTTGCAGAGGGAGCCAGAGCTGCAGGTCCTGCTCAGCCATGAGTCTCACTGGGGAGACGAGACATGAGTCTCACAGTGAGACTCTCACAGTGTCACTGAGCTGCACCACATCACCTGAACTCTGCTTATCCCAGTGGAAAGGCAATGTACACAAAAGGGACATCAGGGATGTCCCCAGGTGTGGCAGCTCCTTTCCACACCACGGATGCAGCTGCAAACAGGGTGAAACAAGTGCTGTGTGCCTTATTCCCCCCTTGGTGGTGCCTCACAGCCCTGTTTTCCTGGGAAACTGAGGCAGGGGGCACCTGGAATGCACTGGGGACAGCTGGGGCTCCAGAGGCAGCAGCTGGGGGTCAGTTTCCACTGTCTGTGCTCCAAAGCCCCTTCTGTAAAATGGAACAACACCACTGACCTCCAGGAACATTTCTAAATGTATTTCCATGGAGTAAATCTTGATTTTCAGAGCACCTGATTGTGGATGTGACAGTTAGTCAGAGAGAGAAGCCAGATAAACCTTCCCAGGAATTGTTCTGGGGAGTCTTGAGGCAGCTGAAAGAATTAAAAACATCTTGCAGCTGGTGTTTGGAGCAGTTGTTTTCTCATGACATGTTTACCAAAGGGTGTTTTCTTAATTAGCCAGTGGTGCTGGGGTGTTGATTAAATGACCAATCAGGTGCCCCTATATCAGAAGGGTGTATAAAGGAATGGGTTTCTGATAAACTCAGATTAACCTGCTGGAGAGACCCAGAGCCTGTGTGTGCCTCACTGCTGTTCCTGACTCAGGTGACACTTGATCCTGTGTAAGGCACCTCCCCCTGCTGTCAGGCACTGTCAGGCACTGTCAGGTGTCTCCACATTTCTCCTCACAGAGAAAAGCAAGGCACAATTCTTCCCAAGAATATTTCTGGGTTTCACATTCTCTGAGCCTCAGAGAAAGGAAGAACAAATCTTATAATTTACTGTGCCTGTATTGTGCCAAAGCAGAATGCAATATGGAGATTTTTTACCCACAGTGATGGTGTTTGGTTCCTTGGCCTGTCACGGCCAGGTGTGTGTGTGTGTGTGTGTGTTGGGACTGGGGGCTGACAGTCATGAGATTCTGTGCAGTGTGAGCAGAGCTGAGTGCTTGGCAGATTCAGTTTAGATGTAATGGAATAGAATATAGAATAATGTAGTATATTAGTATAGAATAATATAGTATATTAGTATAGAATAATATAGTATAATAAAGTCATTAATTAGCCTTCTGATAAGATGGAGTCCTCCTCATCACTCCTCCCTGCCACAGGGATCCCTGCAAGTACTATGGTCAGGCACTGCCATCATTGCCATTATTGCCAGTCACTGCCATCACTGCCAGTCACTGTAATCACTGTCAATCACTGCCAATCACTGCAATCACTGCCAGTCACTGCAATTCCTGCCAGGCACTGCCATCACTGCAGTCACTGCCAATCACTGTAATCACTGCCAGTCACTGCCAATCACTGCCATCACTGCCAGTCACTGCCAGTCACTGCCAGTCACTGCAATTCCTGCCAGGCACTGCCATCACTGCAGTCACTGCCAATCACTGTAATCACTGCCAGTCACTACAATCACTGCCAGTCACTGCCATCCCTGCCAATCACTGCCAGTCACTGCCAGTCACTGTAATCACTGTCAATCACTGCCAGTCACTGCAATTCCTGCCAGGCACTGCCATCACTGCAGTCACTGCCAATCACTGTAATCACTGCCAGTCACTACAATCACTGCCAGTCACTGCCATCCCTGCCAATCACTGCCAGTCACTGCCCTCACTGACCCGTCGGAGCCCGGCCTGGAGGAAGCGCTGTCGGACGAGGTGGACGAGGTGGAGGCCACAGAGGAGGCCACGGAGGTGACCGAGAGCCTCCTGAGGGTGGAGGACATGATGTAGGGCAGCACCATGGAGCCCGAGCGGCTCGGCTTCCTGTCCGTCAGCACCGGGGGCTGCAGGGAACAGAGGGAACACTGTGAGCAAGCAGGAGATCTGCAGCAGGGCTGGCTCTGCACAGGGCTGGGCACAGCAGCAGGGCTGGCTCTGCACAGGGCTGGGCTCAGCAGCAGGGCTGGCTCTGCACAGGGCTGGGCTCAGCAGCAGGGCTGGCTCTGCACAGGGCTGGGCTCAGCAGCAGGGCTGGCTCTGCACAGGGCTGGGCTCAGCAGCAGGGCTGGCTCTGCACTGGGGCTGGGCTCAGCAGCAGGGCTGGCTCTGCACAGGGCTGGGCTCAGCAGCGGGGCTGGCTCTGCACTGGGGCTGGGCAGGCTGGGCTCAGCAGCAGGGCTGGCTCTGCACAGGGCTGGCTCTGCACTGGGGCTGGGCAGGCTGGGCACAGCAGCAGGGCTGGCTCTGCACTGGGGCTGGGCAGGCTGGCCCAGGGCCTGAACCCGGGGACACAAGGGTTAACAACACCAAGGGACCTGCACTTGGGCCACAACCCCCGGCTTGGGGACAGAGCTGCTGGACACAAAAGGACCTGGGGGGACCGATGGATGCAGCTGGACATGAGCCCAGGTGTGCCCACGTGGCCAAAAAGGCCAAAGGCACCTGGGTGGGATCAGAGTGGCCAGCAGGAGCAGGGCAGGGACTGTCCCCAAGGCAGGGACTGTCCCCTGGGCAATGGGGGAGGCCACACCTCGAGGGCTGTGTCCAGTTCTGGGTTCCCCCAGTTCAGGAAGGACATGGAGGGCCTGGGGAGAGTCCAGGGAAGGGAACAGAGCTGGGAAGGGGCTGGAGCCCCAGGAGAGACTGAGGGAGCTGGGCAGGGGCTCAGCCTGGAGCAAAGGAGGCTCAGGGGGCCCCTGTGGCTCTGCCCAGCTCCTGCCAGGAGGGCACAGGGACAGGAGCAGAGAGAACGGCCTCAGGCTGGGCCAGGGCAGCTCAGGGTGGGCACAGCAGGAATTTCCCCATGGAAAGGGGGCTCAGGGCAGGCTCAGGGTGGGCACAGCAGGAATTTCCCCATGGAAAGGGGGCTCAGGGCAGGCTCAGGGTGGGCACAGCAGGAATTTCCCCATGGAAAGGGGGCTCAGGGCAGGCTCAGGGTGGGCACAGCGGGAATTTCCCCATGGAAAGGAGGCTCAGGGCAGGCTCAGGGTGGGCACAGCAGGAATTTCCCCATGGAAAGGGGGCTCAGGGCTTGGAACTGCCCAGGGAGGGTTGGAGTGCCCATCCCTGGAGGGGTCACCTGGAGGCGGCACTCAGAGCTCTGGGCTGGGGACAGGGTGAGCACTGGGCACAGCTGGGACTCCCTGCTCTCAAAGCTCTTTCCCAGCCCTGATGATTCTGGGATTCTCTGACACCACCTCACACCCACCCACGGGTGGAAAAGGAGGAGTTGGGTTCCTCTGGGGCAAAACATGGAAGAAGCAGGTTCCCTCACCAGAGTTATGACCCCGTACTGCTTCTCCACCTTCCTCCTGAGCTCCCTGAAGCAGGCTGTGAGCCTCTCGTGCAGCGGCTTCAGCTGCTCCGTCAGCTTCTCGCCGTGGATCCGGATCCCCTCTGCCAGGAGAGGCATCTGAGGCAGGGAGGCAGGAGCAGAATGAGCTGCAGGAGCACAAACCAGCCCTCCTGCTCCCCAGAGGGAGAGTTCAGCAGCCCAGATTAAATTAAAGGATTTAAATCAATGTGTTTTGTGTTTGCAGAGGGGGAGATAAACAGGGACACAGCAAGGGAGCTGAGCTGCTGCCAGTGAGGGACCTTCAGTGCTGCAGCTCCAGGTGTTGAACAAACACCAACATATTCCCCAGGCTGGATGGGATTTGGAGCAGCATTTGGAGCAGATTTGGAGCAGCCTGGGATGGTGGGAGGTGTCCCTGCCCATGGCAGCATGGGCTTTAAGATCCCTGCCCACACAAAGCATTCCAGGATTCCTTGCTCCCCATTCCCTCACTCCACCAGTGCCTCCACCTCTCCCAGTTCCATACCTGTATCGCAATTTGTTGCTTGAGCAGCTCAATTTTGTCTTGATCTTCAGGATGTTCTTGGAGATATTTCTCTGTGAAGAAGGCCTGGAAGCACAGGGAGAAGGTGACACAGGTGACACACACACTGCTTCCCCAGGCAGCTCTGAGAGGAAGATCCTTTAAGAGCAATTCACTGCCATTATTCCTCATATTAAACCCAAATTGTGCTGGCACCAAGCTGAGGGACAAAGAACCAAGGTTATTTGTTAGGAAAAGAGAACAAAGCTCACTTTTTATTTTAAAAAAAGTAATGTTTTTTCCTAGTGAAACACATGGAAAAACAGTTACTGCATCAGGCAGGTTTTGCTCAGTCCTGATCCCCTTCTCACAAACCAGCATTGATTTGAATAACTGAGCTTCCATCACTTCTACTTCTCACTTAAATGGGAGTGACAGACCCAAAACCTCAAGTTCTGACTCCAAAAAGCCTCTTTTCTTTCCCAGCAGCCAGTGCCCCAGAGCACAGCTGCCCCACGGAGAGCACAGCACCTCCTGCGGCAATTTCCTCATTTCAGCCCCCAAATCCCTCGTTTTCACCTGGGGCTGCTTACAAAGATTCAGCAGAAATAAAGACCATGCTGGGATTTGGGCTCCAGCTCCCTTCAACAAAGCACCTTTAGTCTCCACTTCTCCTGGGTTTACCTTTAATCAGCACAAGCTGCTCGTGGTTTGAAGTTGAACAAACACAAATCCACTTTCCTGGACTGAAAACTGAAATTTGTGCCAATTCCCATGATGTATCCCATTAAAATGGATCCCAATTCCCGCTCAGAATATTTTTTTTTCCTAGATAAACTCCCTAATAAGTTTTTCATTTGTTTCTCTGAGCCATTTCAGCCTCTGAGTATATTTTTTTTTACTTCTGTAAGACTGGACTGTGGTACAGGTTTGTAGGGCTGGGGGTTTGAACCTGAACAGGATGGAGGTGAGCCTGGGAAAGGGCTGATGGGCTGGTCCCAGAGGATTTTCCCTGAAAGTGCTTAATTATTGCAAGAGGAAAGATGTTTAAAAACCCCAACTTTAGGGTTTGGCTACAATGAAACAATTAAAACTCAGATTTTAGCCCTCCACAAAAGCCAAATGTTCTGCACTGATCTGCAGCTGAAATAGGAAAATATGAACGAGAAGTGAGTATTTCCAGATGTGGCTGCAGAGATTTTGTGTTTTCTAGTTTTAACTGCTTTCCCACTTCTGTAATTCTAAACTTGATGTCAACCTTAATTCATAAAATGGGAGGGTTCAGGGCCAAATTCAGGCCTGGCAAAGCACCCAAACTCCTCTGGAATCAGCAGAGTCAGACCCAGATCAATCAGCCCCTCTCCCAATTAACGTGTGCACCTCATTTCATGGGGCTGGGACACAGCTGAGGAGAATTAAATGTGTTTTACCACATCCCACCCCCTTTGTGGAAACAAGCAGTGCATTCTGTGCTGGGCATTTCATCATTAGGTGGAGGGAATCAACAGCTTAAGTTAAACATCACAAAAAAGAACAACCTACACTGCTCAAGTGAAGTCAGCTGAGTAAACCTGCACAGGAAATGCTGCTTTTTTTCCTGAGTCATTTGCTCTGTTGCAAGACTCCAAAGACACAGAGGCTGCTGGCAAGAGAAAGCCTCTTTAGCCTTCTCATTCCCCATTAATCCAGGGCAGAAGGGGCGGGTCTGGGCTTTTCTCTGCTGCCTGAGCACCTCTGTGCCCCACAAGGCACGAGCAGGTTCTCATCCCACTGCAAAGGAGGCCCAGAAGAGCTGGACCCTGCCCTGAGAGCACTAAAGCCGAGCATTTCCACCCTGCAGTCAGTGCAAAGCTCTGCTCTTTGTGCTCCTGTCTGAGCTCTGCACACACAGAGCCCCACACAGGGGCTGGGACAGCTGGAGATGGGACAGGACCTGCCAGGTCCTTGCACACTGCAGGGGCCCAGGGGCAGCTGCCAGAGTCTGCAGAGCTTGGGCTGGAAGGGACTTCAGGGATCAGGGCCCTGCCCAGCCTGGCCCTGGGCACTGCCAGGGATCCAGGGGCAGCCCCAGCTGCTCTGGGAATTCCATCCCAGGGAACAATTCCTGCACAATATCCTCTCTCTCCCTGCCCTCTGGCAGTGGGAGCCATTCCCTGTGTCCTGTCCCTCCATCCTTTATCCCCAGTCCCTCTCCAGGGAATTCTGGAATGATTTGTGTTGGAAGGGACCTCAAAAGTCACCCAGTGCCACCCCTGTCCAGCTCCCACTGTCCAGCCTGGCCTTGGGCACTGTCAGGGATCCAGGGGCAGCCACAGCTCCCTGGAAATTCCCTCCCAGCCCCTCCCCAACCTCACAGCCAGAAATTCCCAATCTCCCATCCATCCCTGCCCTCTGGCAGTGGGAGCCATTCCCTGGCTCCTGTCCCTCCATCCTCGTCCCCAGCCCCTCTCCAGCTCTCCTGGAGCCCCTTCAGGCCCTGCAAGGGGCTCTGAGCTCTCTCTGGAGCTTTCCCTGTTCCAGGTGAGCACCCCCAGGTGTCCCAGCCCTGCAGAGGGGCTCCATGGACGTGGCAGGACCTTCTCATAGTTGGTGTAGCCCCCCATGACCGCGGGGTCCACGATGCCACTGAGCAGCATGGACAGGGGGTGCACGGGCAGGCTGCGGTCCCAGCCCTGCTGCTGCACCACGTTGGTGATCCTCTCATTGGTCAGCTCCATGGTCTCTATGGCATTCTCCAGGGGGCTGATCTCCTCCTGAGGGACAGAGGAAACAGAATGAACTTGCTTTAGAGCCACACAATAAAACCTTCAAACCTTCATGCAGTTTTTCGGGAGAAATTCCTCTCTGTGAGGGTGGGGAGGAGCTGGGAGGGAATTCCCAAGGAAGGAATTCCCAGGGAGCTGTGGCTGCCCCAGGATCCCTGGAAGTGTCCAAGGCCAGGCTGGAGCACCCTGGGGCAGTGGGAGGTGACCCTGCCATGGCAGGGGGTGACACTGGATGATTTTAAGTAAATCCTAACCCAGACCATCCTGGGATTCCATGGCTCTGTGATTCATTCCTCTCCCCTGAGTAAGCAACTAAATAATTTGCTTTTATCTGTGCCACATCCAGCAGTGGAAGGAGTGGCACTCCCAAGTGCTCAAGGCTTTATTCCATGAGGGACTGAGGAGGAGGAGATGCAGCCCCCATGGAGAACTCACCGTTGTGACCTGTTTGACCTCAAACCACTTGAGGATGCCTGGAAAGGAATAAGCTGTCGTGTAGGTTGTCCTCTCTATCCACATGTTCTGGGTAGAGAAGGAAAAAAAAGATATCTGAGGTGTAAGGCAAACATTGGCCTTGATACTGAACTCTCTCCTGCATGGAGTGAGGCTTCCAGAAGGAGCTGTCAGAGCTCCATAGCCATGGCCACCTCTCCCTACAGCCATTCCCACCTCCCCACAGCCATTCCCACCTCCCCACGGCCATCCCCACCTCCCCACAGCCATTCCCACCTCCCTATAGCCATGCCCACCTCACCCTACAGCCACGCCCACATCCCCACAGCCACTCCCATCTCCTCAGGCCATGGCCACATTTCCACCTCCCCACGGCCATGCCCACCTCTTGCCACGGCCATGCCCACCTCCTCAGGGCCATGGCCACCTCCCCACAGCCATTGCCACCTCCCCACGGCCATGCCCACCTCCCCACAGCCATGGCCACCTCTCCCTACAGCCATGCCCAGCTCCCCACAGCCATCCCCAGCTCCCCATGGCCATTCCCAGCTCCTCACGGCCATGCCCACCTCCCCACAGCCATGCCCATCTCCCCACAGCCATCCCCACCTCCCCACAGCCATGCCCATTTCCCCACAGCCATGGCCACCTCTCCCCACAGCCATGGCCACCTCTCCCTACAGCCATGCCCAGCTCCCCGCAGCCATGCCCAGCTCCCCATGGCCATTCCCAGCTCCTCACGGCCATGCCCACCTCCCCTCAGCCATCCCCAGCTCCCCTCAGCCATTCCCACCTCCCCTCACTGGGACAGAGCCCCACGCTGGGCTCTGCTGAGCCTGCGCTCTCACAGCACCAATTTATGGATTCTGATGGATGCTGAATGCCCAAACTCCAGCTGTGGAGCCCCCTGACATCTCCCCCAGCTTCACAACGCCCTTTGTGTCTCCTGCTTTTTCATTCCCAACCTCTGTGGCCACAGGGAGAGGGAAAAGGTGACACTTTGGTCCAAATGCCACCAAGAAACCAAACCAAAGGCAAAGGACTCACAGCAAACTCGTTGTCTGGATCCTTCTCTCCTTTCCTGACAGGTCTGGAGTGAGTGAACTGCTGCACCTCGTTGGCTCTGTAGTAGCTGGGAAGAAGCAGAGTAAAAAGGTGATTTCCTCACCTCCCTTCCCCCTCACTCAAATGTTCAAGTGTTTCCTCACAGTTTGTGGGGAGGAATTTACACAATTTACACAAAATACCAAGGCACAGCACCTTGTTCCCAAGTTACTGGGGAAAACACACACAAAATGTTGAGGGAAAAGAAAAATAAATTACTTTAAGATCTGTTCAGGAACAGGTTTATCTTTGTAATTAGGTGGCAGGTTCATCACAGGCTTCACAATGAAGCACTGCACATCTGAGCAGCTCTGGTTAAGGATGAAAAACCAGGAACCCTTTTGGGAAAACAGGAGAGGGAGAGAAAAACCCTTCCTGTTTCCATTGTCAGACTTTTCCACAAATCCCTGTGCTCTCATTAAGGATTTTTCTTCAAACCTGACTAATTCATCACAAATCACAGGCATTATCTTGCATCTTGCTGTTTGTAGCTTCCTTGTGAATTAAAAACCCAAAAGGAAAAGGACTTCACAAATAATAACCCCAGAATGGTTTGGGTTGGAAAGGACCTTGAGCTTTATGCAGTGCCACCCCTGCCATGGACAGGGCCACCTCCCACTGCCCCAGGGTGCTCCAGCCTGGCCTTGGACACTTCCAGGTGCTGAAATTCCCTGAAAATGCTTGGGGGTCCTTGGCACCACTGATTTCTCCTTTGGGAGACAAGAAAAGGGCAGCAGGGCTCTGCAGGAGCCTGTGGATGCCTCTGGCTCTTCTCTCACCCCACAGTTATTTATCAGAGGCTGCTGCTCCTTCCCTCCCACCTTTTAGATTCATGAAGCCAACTGAACAAAGGAATGGCTTCACACTCAGCTTTTGTACCTGGAAATAAAGACAGACATTAAAGAGATGTTCGTAATTGTATCCCCAAGCACAACAGCCTATCATGTTCCTCCAAAATTCTGCTTTGAGGACTGTGCTGGGGCTTTACAGGAGCAAAAAGCTGGCTGGGAAAGCAAGGCTTAGCCAGTCTGACCCCATGAGGAGATGGCTTCTGTGAATCCCTGCTGTCTGAAGTGGCAGTGTACAGGAATGTGTTCCTTGTTGACAGAGTGACAAAATTATCTTTTGTTCCTTTGAAAAGGAAATAAGCGTAAAAATGTCTCTTAGTTAGCCAAAAAGACACTTCACAGGACTTGGGGGACTTCACCTCAAACTTAAGGACAGCCAATTGGAAAAGAGCTAAAAAGTCCCACCTAAGCAATTTACTAGAAAAAAAGAAGAGAACAAAGGAACTAATGGCTTTTGTGAGGTGTTTTACCAGGGGCAAGAACCTCTTGCACCCGGCTCAGTTTTTCTCTATGAAGAGTTTTGTTATTTTGCCTTTTATTAAAACCGTTTTGTTTCCAACACTGCCACAGAAGCCATCCTGCTGATTTTATGCCTTCTGAGGCAGCTGAGCTATCCTGGATGTGAAATAAATCTCCGAGAGCTTGTGAGACCTGGCTGGAGGAGACCCAGAGTTCAGCAGTGTTCCAGTGGGGGGTTAAGGCAGCCCCACACATCCTTCAACCCACTGAGGCAGCTCTGAAGGGCATTCTGAGAGGCAGAGCAAAACCACCCTGCCTGGGTGAGGAGCCACAGGCAGAGCTGAGCCCAGGAGCACAGAGCCAGGCTGGCTGAGGCTCTGAGCCCAGCTGGTGAGCTGTGTGTCCCAGCAGAGCCCCTGAGCCCAGCTGGTGAGCTGTGTGTCCCAGCAGAGCCCCTGAGCCCAGCTGGTGAGCTGTGTGTCCCAGCAGAGCCCCTGAGCCCAGCTGGTGAGCTGTGTGTCCCAGCAGTGCCCCTGAGCCCAGCTGGTGAGCTGTGTGTCCCAGCAGAGCCCCTGAGCCCAGCTGGTGAGCTGTGTGTCCCAGCAGAGCCCCTGAGCCTGGCCTGAGCCCTGCTCAGCTCCCTGGGCTGCTCTGGGCTGCAGGGAACCCTGAGGTTCAGCACAGCTCACCTGGGGGCCCCAGCACATCCCTACCAAAAGAAGAACGAGGTGTTTTGTCATAAAAGAGCAAAAACAGCCTAAAGAAATAAAAAGGAGCCTGAGGCAAAGGAGGTTAAAGGAGCCTGAAAGCAAAAGCAGCCCCAGGAGCAGCAAGGTCTGCCTAAGACAACAGAGATCTGGGCACTGCTGGTGTCAGGAGGTGTTTGTGGGAGTGCAGGGAGATCCTGTCCCACATCCAAGCCCTGCAGCTGCTCCCTTCATCCCAGGGCTGTGCCAGAGCCCCGGAACCCAACACCCCCAAACCCTGGGGATGGCTCAGATCTGCCTCCAAACTCTGCAGCTCGGCTTCATCCCCAGCCAGGAACATCAGGACAAACACAAACAGATGCAGAGGAAGCAGCTGAAACAAAGCAGCAACAGAAGAGGCATTTTTGATACCAAGTTTGATCTTGAATGGATTTTAATTTCCTCTGTGGATTCAGTGCTTGGCAGGAGGATTGCACAGGAAGCATCTGCTGTCACTGCCTGGCCTGGGCCTCTGTGCACAGGGTTTGAGGGCCAAAATGGACCTTCAGATTCTCCAGCCTGGCCTGCTGAGCACAGGCTGGAAGCCCAGGATTTGGTTTTCCTGGCGTGCATCCTCCAGGAGCCACTGACTGAAGTCACTGGCAGCAATCTGGAGCATCTCCACTGGCTCACACTCCCAATTCAGAGCATCTTAAGGCTGGTGGGGAGCTTGGGACACAGCCTGGAGTCCCACCAGCAAGGGCAAAAATAAGAATTAAAAATAGTAAGGGCTCTGCCGCCAGCAACTTTAAGTGACATAATCCCTTCACACTTCTTACAAAGGGGAAAAACACACAAACCCCAGCACTTCATAAATGCTAATGCACTGCAAGGAAGAAGGGAGTACTCTCACTTTTCACATCCTGCATTTCCCACCTCTCACCCAGAAATACCCAACTGGTCCCACCATGGCCAGAGCAGCCAGCAGCCCCTGAGTGAAACACAGGAAACCCTCCCTGAAGTCTGCTCCTCACCCTGACAGCAACTTGTTCTTTAAACCCACCCTTACAGCTCTGGATAGCCCCATTTTCACATTTTCAAGCCCAGTGCCTGCCCCCACATCCCCCAGGAGCAGGAACCCCCTCATTCCCATCACTGCTGTAGGGAACAGAGAGCTCTGGGTGTGCCAAGATGCCCCAAACCCAAAAGATACACTGTTTGGGGGAAGCCTTGATCTCCTCTCCTGGAGGGGCTGTGCTGGTCATCTTCTCAGCATTGGGGAACTGGGTCAGCAGCTTCAGGTTGAAATCCTCCCTGCGCTCGTACTCCTTGCCACGGTAGATGAAAATCTTGTTCTGGGGGCAGGAGGAGAAAAAGGGAATTAAAATTCAGCAAAGCAGAGGGACAGAGCTCCCCAAAGCCCCCCAGAGCTGGTTTATGGGAAGGGAAGATCCCAGCTGGACAGAAGAGGTGAGGGAAGGAACACAGGTTGAAATGAGCGTGACCGTGTTCACAGGGGTTTTGGGATGAGGGAAGAGACGAGGATGTGACTCCATGCTTCAGAAGGCTGATTTATTATTTTATGATATATATTATATTAAAACTATACTAAAATAACAGAAGAAAGGATTTCATCAGAAGGCTGGCTTAGAATAGAATAGGAAGGAATGATAACAAAGGCAGCTGTCTCAGATTCTCTGTCTGAGCTAGCTGGGCTGTGATTGGCCATTAATTAGAAACATCTAACATGGGCTAATCAAAGATCCACCTGTTGCATTCACAGCAGCAGATAATCAATGTTCACATTTTGTTCCTGAGGCCTCTCAGGAGGAAAAATCTTAAGGAAAAGATTTTTCCTTAAGGAGGAAAAATCCTCCTGTTGCATTCCACAGCAGCAGATAACCATTGTTTACATTTTGTTCCTGAGGCCTCTCAGCTTCTCCGGAGGAAAAATCTTAAGGAAAAGATTTTTCATAAAAGATGTCTGCGACAAATGAGGGCACAGCAGCTCCTGGGAGCCAGGCCTGGCAAGGGGAACCTCAGATTTGTCTAAAAAAATCCATTGCTGCACAGAGAATCATCAAACAGGGCTGGCAAGGAGCTTTTAAAGCCACCTGCAATGAGCAGGGACACCCTCAAACAGGTGGGGCTGTCCACACAAACACATCCCAGAGTCACTGCCCTGCTCACACCTCCCAGCACTCCCAGCTTCAGCACAGGGATCTCAGCCAGGAGCTGATTTTTGTAACAGAATAAATGTGCCAGGAAATTCTTCATTCCAGGGCCCTGCTGTGAGTTCCCTGAGGGATGTCCCTGGGCACAGGTGGCACCTTCACCTCACCCCATTCCTGGCCACCAGCCCCACAATGTCACCCCTGGCAGGTCTGCCCCACACACCCACACCAGACCATGGCCAGTCATTGTCACCTGGCAGTGGTTCCAGGAGGGGATGGATGCCCAAACATGGCCTGGAGTTGAAAGCCCTCCATGCCACCTCCTCACACAGCTCTAACTTAACAATCTTCTCTTTTTTTGAGCTTGGCTTCACTTCCTCCTTTCCAGAGCTTCAAACAGCTCCAGTCTGAGAAGGCAGAATGGCCCTGAATTTTAAATAACAGGAATATTCTCAGCCTTGCTGACCCTGGATCTGAGTCATTCCTGTCCTCCACACAGATCCAGCAGCGCTCAGCAGCTGGAATAAGAAGCACCTTTGCACTTGAATTCTGTGTGGGACAAACTCTCCCTGACCACTGAAATAATCCCTGTCCTGAAAATTTGGCTGATTGAGGCTGAAAAGCAATGGGATAAATTCTTTACAGGCTGAACATTTCCTAATAGCAACAATCACATTTCAGAGGGAGCACAAACACAAAAGGTAAATTCTGCCTAAATAGAAGAACTTATCAATCATCTAAAAAACCTATTGTAACACCCAGACCCCACTTGAGCTGGTAACACACAAAATTTCATCTCTGACTTGACTCTTTTTAGACAGTCCTGGGATTTAGAGCTGTCAGTGCCACTGAAAGGAAAGGAAGTTTGGCACCCAATTTTCTTGGGAGCTCTGCAGAAGTTGTGACTTTCAGGGTCTCCAGCAGTGCAGAAGTTGAGTGGGAAGGATCCTTACCCTGAGGAAAGAAGGAAAACCCTGTCCATAGTAGCCAACAGCAAAGTACTCAGGCTGAGGTCTCATGGCCTTCATGATGTTCTCATAAAAAGTGGCTCTTTTTTTCTGGAAAAGAAAACAACAGCACACTTTCACTTTGGAATGCTGCAGGACACATTCCCAGGGACAATTCCTGATCTCTGCCCTCAGAACACACTCCACAACTGCTTTTTGATGCAGTCTCTCATCCTTATCCATTTACTTGATTAAATATTTGCTTTGTCTGGGCCAGAACCAATTTCATTTCCTGCTCTGCAGACGTGAGAACAATGCCATGGCTTTAGGATTCCAGAAGGAGATTTGAAATCCTTCACTGTGGGAAAACAAATGAAATACAAATATATTCTGCAAGGGAGAAGACACAAATGGTGACAAATGTCAGAGAACTGGCAGAAATAAAACTGGGCAGATGATTCTGCTGTGAAAGAACATAAAGACCATCTGGTTCCATCCTTAACCACTAGAAAGCAGAATTCTGAGCCAAGAGAATTCTCTAGCTCTGTGTTCATGCCCAGCACTTTCACCACAGAAATAACAAGGTGATGAGATTTATGGAGCCTGAAAATACACTCTTCTTGTTGCTTCATTTGCTTAAGACCAAGAATTCCAAACATCTGCACATGGTATTATCATGCTAATTAGGAGGTGAAAAGACACTATGAAAATATTTATTCTACTACTAACCTTTACAAAGCCATGGGGTTAAGTTGGTTTGTTTGTCTTTAACATACATTTATTTTAGGCTTATGCTGCTTGAACAGTATTAAGTGAAGCAGTCAGCAGCCTGCTGGATATGGAAGAAAAGCCTCACCAGGAGATTGCCAAGTCCCTCGTAGTCAAAGACCTTGTTCTCATACATGTCAGCCAGCTCCTTGCTCAGCTGAATGGCTTTTTCCCACATCTCCACGAGGGGGAGGACGGGCAGGAGGGGGAAGAAGAGCACAAGCAACATGAAAGACTCAGTTAAAAGCCTTCATTAGCACAGATAGGTAAACAAAAATGCAGCTGATTTTAATTCAGGCACTACTTTCATGCTCTGCCAGGTTTCCCTCAGACTCCTCTGTGCATTTTTGGTTTTGCATGGGTTATTACAGTCATACAGATCTTGTGATGTGGAGATCTGAGAGTGATTTACAAAGCCAGGTCTCCACTGAGAATCTGACAGGACAAACTGGGAGGAGGAAGGACAGGTCTGAACAGCAGAGAGAGAAGCCATGGGGGTCTCCTCCTCCTGCAGCACCTGGGGTTTGTCTCATCATGGGATCATGGAATTTGGGTGGAAAGGGACCTCAAAGCCCAGTGCCACCCCTGCCAGGGCAGGGACACCTCCATTGTCCCAGGGGGCTCCAGCCTGGCCTTGGGCACTGCCAGGGATTCAGGGGCAGCCACAGCTCACTGGGAATTCCATCCCCCCCTCCCAGGGAGGAATTCTGTCCCAAATTCCATCTAAACTCCCTTATTTCAGCTCAAAGCCATTCAGCCCTGGCAGAACCCTCTCTCCAAGGTGCAGCTCCCAGGTCAGTGCAGCCAGGGAACCTCTCTCCCTGCAAGCCCAAAACCTGACAGGAGCCCTCCCAGGGGAAGGGAGGGAAACACCTGCCCTGCTCCCATCCACCCAGAACCTTGAGCAGCTTCACTTCCAGACACTCTTTGGCCAACACAGAAATAGGGTTTCAACGTCTCCAGACAAGCAGGTGCCCTGCTGATGGCAGTGCTGGGGTCCCTGCCAAAACCCCAGCCTGGTGTGGAACCACATCTGCTTTTACCTTTCAACCAACCCCAGCCTGCCCCAAGCACTGAGGCAAGAACTGAGCAGTAAGGAAATCCTAAATCCACACCAAAGGGAACCTGCCAAGGCAGGGTTTGCTGCAGGAGCAGGGTGAGCACTCACCTTGCCCCTGTCGAAGAAGGAGATGATCTCCTGGTAGAGCTTCTCCTTGAGCTCCTGCTGGGAGTACACACAGAAGGAGTCCCTCTGCAGCAGGTGAGGGGCACAGGGCTTCTCTGACCACTGGGACAGGGCAAAAGGCAAAGCTGAAACAACTGCAACACTTCCAGAGAAATCCTGACAGGGTGACTCAAAACAAACCCCTCATGGAGGCAAAGGAAGTTTGGCAGAGATGTAAACCTGAGACATTCTCTCCCAGCTCACTGCAGCAGGAGGATGCTAATAATGATGCTAATCATGATTTTTCTTTCATTATTATTTAATTAAATCACCTATTTTTATTTTATATATATTTTATAGAAATATATATAAAAATATAAATATAATTATATATAAAAAAGATAATATATTTTATATTATATATAATAATTTATTATATATAATAATATATAATGTATATTTATATTTATATATAAATATGAATATATAAAATATATATTTTATAATATACAATTATTATTTATGCATATAATATATGATTATTTATAACATTATATCATTATATATACGACTATATAATTTTATATATATCATAGTCATAATTTTATATATATCATATTCCATTGCTGTGGAATCTGCAAGCTTGTGAAGCCCCTCAATGACCACTGGTACATACATGATTGAAAGTCCCATTAAATCAGAAATCAAAGTGCTTTTTATTTTATATATATTTTATATATATTTTATTTTATATATATTATTTATTTTATTTTATATATATTATTTATTTTATATATGTTTTATATTATATATATATTATATATATATTCTATATATATTTTATATATATAAAATTTTATTTTATATATATTTTACATAAATATATATAAAAATATAAATATAATTATATATAAAACACATAATATATACTACATATTATATATAATAATAATTTATTATATATAATTTATATCTATATTATATATAAATATGACAATATAAAATATTTATATTTAATAATATACAGTTATTATTTATGCATATAATATATGATTATTTATAACATTATATCATTATATATACGACTATATAATTTTATATATATCATAGTCATAATTTTATATATATCATATTCCATTGCTGTGGAATCTGCAAGCTTGTGAAGCCCCTCAATGACCACTGGTACCTACATGATTCAAAGTCCCATTAAATCAGAAAACAAAGTGCTTTGGTTGTTCTGAGCAGTCTGTGCCTCACCAATCCCCAAGCCTGGGATACCTGGAGCAGCTCAGCGTGCAGGAGCAGGGTGTAGGCAGCCTCTGTGAAGTTCTCACAGTCTGTGTGCAGGTCCCTGAGCTTGTACAGATACCTGGGCAAAGCAAAACAAAACAATTCCCGGCTGTGAAGGACTCCTGTGTCCAAGGGAGCTGCAGGGGAACAAGGGTTTGTGCAGGACACAGCCTACCTGATGTAAATGTCCTCTCGCTTCTTCTCCTTGTAGAAATTCTGCCAACAAGAGAAAAAGTCAAACACTGGCAATGCAGAGCAGCCCAGATTTGCAGAATCATCTCCACATAAGTGACCTGAGCAGCAGTTTTAGGCATTTCAGGGATATTTGCTCATTTTGGCTGCTCAGTCCTGGGACCATCCCTTCATACCAGAGGGGCACCAGCACCTCCAAAAAGGGACAAATCAGAGAAATCACTTGTCTGAAGGGACACAGGCTCTTTGCAGGGGAACAGGGATCCCAGCCAACAGCCAGGCACCTCCTCTGCCTGTGCTCCAGGGTTCCAGACTGGGAGGACCAGCCAAGGCCTTGATTCTGGACTGCCCATCTTTCTGTGATTATGGCTCCAGAGCCTGACTTGGGCACACCATTAACCAAAAATGGCATGAGGAATTCATTAAAATCATTCTCTAGATCAAAAATAATTCCAGGGGGGTCTAGAAAAGCCCAGGGGAGATGCCCAAAGCCCAGGGGATCAGCCTCCAGCCCGGGGGAGGCATCCCCAGCCCAGGTGATGAGTCCCCAGCCCAGGGGAGGTGTCCCCAGCCCAGGGAAGCTGTCTCCAGCCTGGGTAGGGATCCCCAGCCTAGGGAAGGTCCCAACCCAGGGACATGTCCCCAGCCCAGGTGATGAGTCCCCAGCCCAGGGAGGTGTCCCCAGCCCAGGGAACCTGTCCCCAGCCCAGGGGAGGTGTCCCCAGCCCAGGGAACCTGTCCCCAGCCCAGGGGAGGTGTCCCCACCCAGGGAGGTGTTCCCAAAGCCCAGGTGAGAGGTGGGCAGGTGTCCCAAGGACTGGTCCCCAGCCCAGGGACATGTCCCCAGGCCAAGGGAGGTGTCCCCAGCCCAGGTGATGAGTCCCCAGCCCAGGGAGGTGTCCCAGGGCCATGTCCCCAGCCCAGGGAGGTGTCCCCAGCCCAGGGAGGTGTCCCAGGGACATGTCCCCAGCCCAGGTGATGAGACCCCAGCCCAGGTGATGAGTCCCAGGAACATGTCCCCAGCCCAGGGAGGTGTCCCAGGGCCCTGTCCCCAGCCGTACCAGCACGTTGACGGTGCAGCTCATGCGGTTCTCCTTGCTCTCATCGTGCATGATGGTCCTGTAGTCCAGCAGGTTCTCCAGGAGGCTGCTGACCAGCAGGGCAAACACCTCTCCTGGGGCTGCCAGGTACTTGTGCTTCCTGCAGTGCTCCAGCAGCCTGCAGGACACCAGGACACTCAGCTGGGCCTCCCAGGACTGGGAAATGGCATTTTGGGGTGAATTACCCAAATTGCAGTGGGAATGACCCAATTTCCCTGGATGGACACTCAGTGCTGTGTTGGAGAATTTTGCTCAGATATGGCTTATAGAGTTTTGTTCAGACATGCCATAATCATATACAGCTGATGGAAAAGTAAAAGGCAGCGGTGAGGAGCAAATTCTCAAAGCCTGTTCCTGTAAACAACGAAGTTCTCAGGCACATTTCTGTAAACAGCAGAAGTTCTCAGGTTGTTTTTTAATAACAAGTAAATATTTTGTCCTTGGATAGTTATGAGAAAGCAGAGTGACAAACATGGAGGCCTTGAGAACCGTTCATAACAAGATGGGAAAAAACAAGTCTTGGTCTCAATAACAAACCACAGGTATTGAAAACAAAAGGAAGGGTTGGTGTTTAATCTGTAACCAACGATGAGCTCAGGTTTTGCAATATGTATGAACTTAATTAACACAGTTATAAAATGTGCATGTTGGATCAATAAATTGGAGTTCGATGCTGATCAAAGGATGGGTGGTCTCCCTTCGCTTTCTACAGTGCTGGACACCCACACCTGAGACAGCCAACTCAGGCAGGCCAGGACAGCACTTGCTGGTCAAAAAAAATTAAGTCTTTGTTGCTAAAAGCTCCAATTTTGCTTTAATTTGAGCCTTTGAATCCTTTGAAGTAAGTATCTGTTCTGCACATTGATTTCATTGCTTGCTCACCACTGCTCTGGGTTCACACACAGGAAATGAAGCCAGTTCATGGCCATAAAGAAATGTCTCAGAAGTACCAGATTACACTAAAGATTGGATTCAAACAGACATTTCATACATTTCTTGTCACTACAATTCTTTATCAGAATTAGATGAGTCTGCTGATTACAGGGAATACTCTTATAGCAACCTTAAAATATATATGGCAGATTCACTACTCATTAATTTTCCAAAATTACCCAATTACTTCCACTTGCAGCCCCCTCCCCAGTTTGGCAGCTGACTCTGAATTCCATCTGCAGTTAGAAGTGCAGAATAAACTCCTCTTTTTGGGCAATCAGTCCCAGAACACCTGCACTGCTCCCTGCTCACTGCAATAATTCATGAATTAGGGCTTCTTTGCATTAGGAAAGCAGCCCAATAAAGTGTGAAAAATATATAATACATAAAAAACTTATATAAAATAAATGAATATAAACCATATATAAATAATATAGAAAAGAAAAAATAATGTAAAAAAATAAAATAAAAGTACATATATAATATATAAAATATAACATTATATAAAAATATGTAACATATAAATAATGTTATTTATTATATAATATATAATAATATTATTATATATAATATCTACATATAATATAGATATTATATATAATAACAATATATTATTATTTAATATTATTATTATATATATTATATGTACTGCAAATAATATAGAAATATAATATATATATAATATGATAAAAATAGAATCTATAATATATAACATAAAATAATATAAAGTATATAATACATAAATAATATATAAAATAGAGAAAAATATAAAAATACATAATATATAGTTAATATATATTATATAGATTATATAGATAATATAAATAATATATATAATATATATAATATATTATATATATTATATATATTATATATATAATATATAGTATATATATTATAGATATTGTATAAAGTAATGTAAAACTATATAGCACATAGATAATATATAAAATATAATAAAATATATTATATAAATAATACAGAATATAAAATAATAAATGTAATATAATACATTAAACTATTTATTATTTAATAAATAATTTATTATGCATATAAAATAAATGTAATATAAAATGTAAAAATAATAAAATACATAAAATATAAAATATGAAATAATATAGAAATATATTACATATGAATAATATATATAGTATAAAAGATCTAAAATAAAACTCACAGTTTCTCCAGCAGGACCTTGTACTGCTCATCCCCTCGGCCCCCCTCCACCTCCTGGTCCAGCCTGGTGATCAGCTCGTTCTCAAACTGCAAACACAGAACCCCCAGTGGAGCAGAGCAGCTCTGAGGAGCCCCTGGGGGCTCTGAGCCTCCCCCCAGCACTGCAGGCAGGGCCAGGCTGCTCCCAGGGCTGAGGCAGAATCAAGGGATAAAAACCCCAAATGCAAATGTTAGTGTTTAAAAACACATAATCACGGGGGATTATATGCGGTGCTTTTTATTAAGAGCTCTGGGAATCGGGGTATATTCAACCCAAATCTGACTCCGACCATACATCCCAAATGATCATGTTTTATACTCTATCGTTACATAACCTTCATGTTAATTATTAAACTTATATTGTTCTATTGTATACATAAATTTAGCCCCTCTCTGAATTTCCAACATAGTTTCTCACTATTCTTCTTATGGTTACATAATAATTACATTTTAATTACTAAACAATCATCACATCTAACAATTATATAATTTACCATACTGCTTACGCAGGTGCAGTTGATCAGGGAAAGCACAAAGCCTAACATTTTAGATTCTATCTTTAACTTTCTCCAGGGTTGCACTATCACCAGGACTGGAGAAGGAAATCAGGCGCTCCCTGTCTGACCCCACACGGCCACACCGTGGTGCAATGGAACACGGCCAACCCTGATCTCTGACTGCCCTCAGCTCCCTGCACTCACTCACTGCCAGAGCCCCTCGTGGGGGATTGCTGTTGTTGTTGTAAAGGTGAATAAACAGCTAAAATTACATTTCAGGCCCTCTGAGGCTCTCCAAACTCTTCCCAGTTTAGAGGTGAGCACTGACAGCTCTGCAAATGCAGGGAAGGGTGAAAAAAGGGGAATTCAGGGATCATCGAAGTCAGGGAAAGGCTCAGGCAGGACAGAACAGGGAAGTCCTGAACCCTACAAACCACAGGCACTTCCCAAGGGGCTGGGCACAATTTTGGGTGGGGATTTTTTGGTTTTGTTCAAGTATTCTATTTTTCTTTTGCCCTAGGGACAATGCAGAACAGTTGTAGTGAAGGTACCAGTATCGTGTATATATTGCAAATACATGTATTATATTGTATTTATATATATAATTTTATATACATATTACTTTATAGTCAGATATAATGAATGTACAATTACATTGTGTATAATACAGTGTATATACTATATATTAAAATATCGTGTCTTTACATATTGTATATATATTCATATTATATTCATTATTATATATATTTAATAACTATATAATTATTTCATTATATAATGAATATAAAACTACATTTTGCATAATATTGTATATATAATACTACAATACAAAACTGTGTTTTATATACTGTATATATTTCATATTGTATTCTTATATATATTTAATTACTATATATTATATAATTATTTCATTATTATATAATGAATATGCAATTACATTGTGCATAATACTGAACATATAATATTATATATTAAAATTATGTCTTTTTACATATTGTATATATATTTCATATTATATTAATTATTATATAATTATTATATATTATTATATAATTATTTCATCATTATATAATGAATATACATTATGCATAATACTAAATATATTATATATTAAAATATAATATATATAAAATTGTGGTGTTTTACATATTGTATATATATTTCATATTATATTCATTATTATATATATTCCATTTTTATATATAATTATATTTCATTATTATATAATTAATATACAATTACATTATGCATAATACTGAATATATAATATCATATATTAAAATATTGTGTCTTTTTACATATTGTATATATATTTCATATTATATTCATTATTATATAAATATTTCATTATTATATATTATTATATATTATTACATAATTACATTTCATTATTATATAATGAATATACAATTACATTACGCATAATAATGAATATATTATATATTAAAATATAATATATGTAATTGTGGGTTTTTACATATTGTATATATATTTCATATTCTATTCATTAGTATATATATTTCATTTTTATATATTATTATGTAATTATATTTCATTATTATATAATGAATATACAATTACATTAAGCATAATACTGAATATATAATATTATATATTAAAATATTGTCTTTTTACATACTGTATAGATATTTGATATTCTATTCATTATTATATAAATATTTCATTATTATACATTATATAATTATTTCATCATTACATAATGAATAGACTATTACATTATGCATAATACTGAATATATTATATATGAAAATATAATATATATATAGTTGTGGTTTTTTACATATTGTATATATATGTTTCATATTCTATTCATTATTATATATATTTTATTATTATATATTATTATATAATTGTATTTCATCATTTTATAATTAATAGACTATTACATGATGCATAATACTGAATATATATATTAAAATAGTGTGTCTTTTTACATATTGTGTATATATTTCATATTATATTTATTATATATATTTCATTATTATATATGTTATTATATAATATTTCATCATTGTATTATATTTCATCATTACATTATATTATATTATATTGCATTTAATATCTCTATATATTGTATTATTATATAGATGGGTTATATATGGCATCCCTTACCATGTGGAAGTTCCCATTCCCACTGAAGTTGAACTCACACTGCATCATGTCAAAAAAAATGGGAATTGTTGCTTTCCTCAGCTCAGGTTCTGGGACCAGGGTCACCTCCAGGATTGGCCCCACCATTGCTGGGATGAATTTGATTTTGTGGGGACCTGCAAGAAATTCAGAGTCAAATACATCCAGTGGCAGGATTTGGATTTCCCGATGTTTAAGCACATTATTCACACAACAACCACTCTGCTCAGAATGTGGATTTTATGTGGATGTTACTTAAGGAAGAATTACCAGGTTGCAGCTCCAAAATTCAGGAGTAGCCCAAGGAAATAATTGAGCTGAATTGTAAATCACAAAAAAAGGCTGTCTGAAAAATCCCACTCATCCTTTACACGGCAGAACATCCTTTGGAGGGAATCTAAGAAATTATATCAGCAGCTGATGTGAGGAGAAAATCAGCTTTTCCAAGTTATTCACAGAAAAAAGAGATTTTTGTGTGCTGAAACAGCTGAACTGTAAGTGCATTTCCCCACGTGAAACACGTGCAGCTTTTATAAGGAAATAAAGGATTTGAAAGGCAGCTTGAGAGCTGGAGCAAAGATAACTCTTTAGCTGGAACTCACCCAGGTTATACCACATATCCCTGATTTTGAAGCCAATTTCCTTCCTCATGTCCCCATACCTAGAGAAAGCAGTGAAAGAAGAGATGAGAGAGGCCCAAGCCCTGCAATGATCCTGGCAATGCTGCTGGGGAAGTGAATGGCAAAGCCACAAATGGCCACAGCTCACTCTGGCAGGGCACTGCAGATTGCTGAGAGCAGAATTTCCTGGGAATTCAGATTTCCTGAAAGCTGCAGCCCCTCTGCTTCCTGCAATTCCACCCCACTCTGGTTGGGTTTGGGTGTTTTTTCCTGCAATTCCACCCCACTTTGGCTGGGTTGGGGTGTTTTTTCCTAAAGCTTTAACCTCTGACATCAAGACAATACAAAATGATTTCATTATCAGGCTTCTTCAAGCCACTTCTGAAGAAAAAAGGGGAATTCTGCAATTCCACCCCACTCTGGCTAGGTTTGGGTGTTTTTTCCTGCAATTCCACCCCACTCTGGTTGGGTTTGGGTATTTTTTCCTGCAATTCCACCCCACTCTGGTTGGGTTTGGGTGTTTTTTCCTAAAGCTTTAACCTCTGACATCAAGGCAATGCAAAAAGATTTCATTATTAGGCTTCTTCAAGCCACTCCTGCAGAGAAAAGGGGACAAATCCTAACAAAAGTCTGTGTCAGGATGCTCAGAGATATGCAGGCACCCAATTCCAAGGGAATGAAGAGGTAAAAGCTGCTCAGTGACTAAAAATTGCTGGTTTGGGGCTATGAATGGCTCTGAAATGAAGAAAAGTAAAAGGTGGGGGACTTAAAAGCTGGAGGGCTTTTAGGATTCCTCTGACCTACCTTCCACAAGGGCTGAGGAATTGCAAAAGGGAATTTTGGGAATCATGCCAACCTTTCCATTAAAGACCTTCCAGTGGAGAGACCCCGGTAAGGTGCTGCAACAGTTCAAGATCTGCCTGACCAAACTACAACCAGCCCTAATTTCCAGCCCTGACATCTTGTCCTGCTCACCCCTTTACCACAGTGCCTCAATCAGCATTTCCACAGCACCTCCTCCCACCCTGGGGGTGTCTGAACAGCCCAAACGGAGCCTCCTGACAGCAAAAGGGGAAATGGGAACTCACTTCTTGATGATTTTGTTGCGTTTGGCCTGGGAGAAGGTCTCCAGCTGCAGGGACTCGTGAGTGAGGAAGGCAACTGCCAAGTGGAAATAGTTATTCCAGAGCTGGGGGAGAGAAAGGAGATTAAAATGGGAGGATGTCAGAACCCAGGACATTGCTCTGGCTGCCCTGGAGGGCTCCAGACCCTGGCAGGGGGCTCAGAGACCTTGGCATGGAGTCACAAACACTAAAACCACCTGTGCCTTTGATTTCAGCCCATGGAAACAATTACCAACTTTGTGTGAGGAGTTACAAACCACGGGAGTTTGAGTAGAATGACAGTGAATTTGTCACAGGGTGAAAAAGTAGAATTTTGGGGTTTTTAGAATGGGGGTTCAGGAGGCAAGACAGAGGAATCTGGGTGTGTCCTGTCCCTTCCTCCTTTTCCTCCTTCTTCCTTCCTTCTTCTTCTTCTTCCTTCCTTCTTCTTCTTCTTCTTCCTTCCTTCTTCTTCTTCTTCTTTCTTCCGTCTTCTTCTTCTTCCTTCCTTCTTCTTCTTCTTCCTTCCTTCTTCTTTCTTCCTTCTTCTTCTTCTTCTTCTTCTTCTTCCTTCCTTCTTCTTCTTTCTTCCGTCTTCTTCTTCTTCCTTCCTTCTTCTTCTTCCTTCCTTCTTCATCTTCTTCTTCCTTCCTTCTTCATCTTCTTCTTCCTTCCTTCTTCTTCTTTCCTTCTTCTTTTTTCCTTCTTCTTCTTCTTTCTTCCTTCTTCTTCTTCTTCTTCTTTCTTCTTCTCCTTCTTGTCCTCCATCCTCTGCTATGATGGTGACACTTTTGGATTGGTTTAGAGCAGAGACAGACTGTCTAACATGGGTGATAGGTATTGGAAAATTATTGTAAATAAAGCACAGGTAGTTCTTAGTATAAAAAGCCAACACCACCCCAAGGGCAGGCACTGTGCCACAACCCGACCTGCTGGACAGATCTCAGCAGGTCAGAGAAAGAATGGAACAGATAAGAGAAAATAAACAACCTTGAAAAGCAGAACTGATGAATCTCAACTTCTTTGGTCACAGGGCTGGGAAAAAGAGACTTTCCAACACCTCAGGGTCATCTCAAGCACAGAAACCCGAGAGGAGGAAACAAAGGAAAAGCAACAACAGGCACAAAAAAGCTGCCCAGCCCCAAATGCAGAGCCTCCTCCATGAGGGAGGGAACCTCAGTGAGCCACAGCCTGCTACCAGTGGGGTTTAGCTGTTCTAGCAGGTCTGGGACCCATAAGAAAATCCAGAGAAAACAGGGCTGGGACCCATAAGAAAATCCAGAGAAAACAGGGCTGGGATCCATAAGAAAATCCAGAAACAACAGGACAATCACCTGGAGCTCAAAATGGGTCTGATCCAGGAAGAAGCGGTTGAGGACGGAGGTGAATTGGTTCACTGCCCGGAGGAAAACCCTGAAGAGACAAAAACATCAACTAAGGTGATTCTGTACCCAAAATCAGTGACACTGCAGCTCTGGGCTCACAGCTCCTATGTGCAAGCTCAGCAGACAGCAACAGATGCTCCCAAAAAAGCAGGAATTCCTCTAAATCAGGGAACATTCAGGCAAAGTTAACCCTCGGTTCAACAGCCTCAAGCTGCACTGGGGAGGCTCAGGTTGGATATCAGGGAAATTTCCTCTCTGGAAGAGCGGTCAAGCATTGGCCAGCTCTGGGTTTAGGTTTCCCATGTGATTCCCCCAGAACTGAGACCAAAAAGCTTCTCTGGTTTAAGCTGGAAAAAAGACCCCAGGGTTCAATCATGTTCTGGGCAGGACAGAGATTTCCAGTTCTACCAGTGGAAATGCACAGGTAAAACTGGCTGGAATCTGACTGAAACCAACCTGAAGTGGCTGAAAAAAATAAGAAGAAAAGGTATAAAAATAACAATAAATAAATAAAAGAAAATAACATAAATAAATTCAATACATTTTAAAAAATAACAAGAAAACTGCCACATTTGAGTCACCCTCCTGTCAGGTCCAAGGAGGCTCCAAAGCCAGACTTAACCCAGATTTAAGCCTGTACTTAAACCAGACTTAAGCCTAAGAAATGAAAATAAATAAATAAAATACAAGAAATAAATCAAGAAAAGAAAATAACATAAATGAAATCAATACATTTTAAAAAATAACTAGAAAACTGCCTTGTGCGAGTCACTCTCCTGTCAGGTCCAGGGAGGCCCCAAAACCACTTAACCCAGACTTAAGCCTGCACTTAAACCAGGCTTAAGCCCTAAGAAACAAAAATAAATAAATAAAAATAACAAGAAATAAATAAAGAAAAGAAAATAACATAAATGAAATCAATACATTTCAAAAAATAACTAGAAAACTGCCTTGTGTGAGTCAGTCTCCTGTCAGGTCCAGGGAGGCTCCAAAGCCAGACTTAACCCAGACTTAAGCCTGTACTTAAACCAGACTTAAGCCTTAAGAAATAAAAATAAATAAATAAAAACCCCAGAAATAAATAAGCATTAATAAAAGAATTTTTTTTAAAAAAAATAACAAGAAAACTGCGTTGTGTGAGTCACTCTCCTGTCAGGTCCAGGGAGGCTCCAAAGCCAGACTTAAGCCTGTACTTAAACCAGACTTGAGCTTTAAGAAATAAAAATAAATAAATAAAAATAACAAGAAATAAATAAATAAAAGAGCATAAATTAAATAAATATTAAAAAAAAAAAAAACCCAAGAAAATTGCCTTGTGTGAATCACCCTCCCATCAGGTCCAGGGAGGCTCCAAAGCCAGACTTAACCCAGACTTAAGCCTGTACTTAAACCAGACTTAAGCCTTAGAAATAAAAATAAATAAATAAAATAACAAGAAATAAATAAAGAAAAGAAAAGAACATAAATTACATAAATAAATTGTAAAAAATAGCAAGAAAATTGCCTTGTGTGAGTTGCCCTCCTGTCAGGTCCAGGGAGGCCCCAAAGCCAGACTTAACCCAGACTTAAGCCTGTACTTAAACCAGACTGAAGCCTTAAGAAATAAAAATAAATAAATAAAAATAACAAGAAATAAATATAGAAAAGAGCATAAACAAAATAAATTTTTTTTTTTTAAAACCCAAGAAAACTGCCTTGTGTGAGTCACTCTCCTGTCAGGTCCAGGGAGGCTCCAAAGCCAGACTTTAACCCAGACTTCAGCCTGTACTTAAACCAGACTTAAGCTTTAAGAAATAAAAATAACAATAAATAAATAAATAAAAGAGCATAAATAAAATAAACACATTTTTTAGAAAAACAAGAAAACTGCCTTGTGTGAATCACCCTCCTGTCAGGTCCAGGGGTCCAAAGCCAGACTTAACCCAGACTCAAGGCTGTACCTGCTCTGCATCATGTTCATGACCATCCAGTCAGCTGCATACACGTTCTTCCCAATCAGGTCCTTGAACATGATGAATGTTTCCATCAGGAAATCCTGTTGGAGAAATAAAACCCATCAGGCTGCACGCGGTGGGGTTGTGTCCATGGGATTACTGGGAGATGCTGCTGTGACCTCATGAAATGCAAATGTCTGGGACTGCCCTGATTAATGCTCATGATGTTGCAGACATTTTTTCATAGAAATCCTTTCCTTCAGATTCGTGCATCTTCTGGGAAGCAAGGGCCCCAGAAGAGAATGTAAACAATTGTTATCAGCTGCTGTGAAATGCAATAGGATGCACCTGTGATTGGTTCATGTTCCATGTGTACCGTTAAGGGCCAATCACAGGAGCAAGCTCGGGGGAAGATTCCCGGGACACAGAACTGTGGGATCTCAGCACAGCAGGACTGATATGCCGAGTCACCAAGACAACCCTTGGGGGGCTCGGAGGTCCTGGAACGTTGCCAGAAGCGTCTGGTGGCTGCACTTTGATCCTGCACAGGAGATGACACCTGTATGAGGATGGGAGGATTTCACTGGGATAAATGGTGAAGGGATAAGTTAATTAGAGTGTGAAACACAGGGTTTAGGATTTCTGTACAGGGAGGTCTGGAGAAGTAAGATGGAGGAATTGGGGTGTGTCCTGTCCTTCTTCTTCTTCTTCTTGGCCTCCATCTTCTGTGGTGGTGGTGGCACTTTGGGATTGGTCCTTACTAAAAGTGCACTGGTCAATAAGGGTGAGAGGTATTGGGGAAAATAGGTAAATATTGTGTACGTAGTTTAGGGTATAAAGGTAAGTGACCGCCCCGAGGGCTCTCAGTGTGCTCATGGCTGTTGTGCTGTGCGGACCTCTGTCGGGCCGGGAGGAAATATTGTAGATAAAAACTGATAAACACTGAAGATCGAGAAAAAACCCGAAGACTCCTTTGGTCCTTTGGAGCGCGGGCTGCCCCAAGGCCACCCCGAGCCTTTCCAGGCCATCAAAAACAGCCGAGACAGCGACACAGAACTTTGTTATAAATTCTTTCTATTCTTAGCTTAGCAGCCTCTGCAACTTCTCTCTTTATTCTATTTAGTATAGTTTTAATGTATTATATATCATATATCAATAAATCCAGCCTTCTGATCAAGAAACAAGATTCTCGTCTTTCTCTCACCCCCAGCGACCCACTCAGGTCGCTGTAATATCATGCTAATTAGCAATCAATGCCCTGCCCTGCCTAACAGGGGGCTCTCATCCTGTGGGTATGGCCCAATAATGAAATTATTGCTGACATCTCATCCATCCAGTGGCACAAGGAGAAACAACTGCACACAATGCTGGTCTGTTTAATGAGATCTGTCTTTGCTGGTTTGCATTAAGCTATGCTGGAGCCCTGTCACAGACATTTTTTCACGGAAATCTTTTCTTTCAGATTTCTGCATCTTCTGGGAAGCAAGAGCCCCAGAAGAAGAATATAAACAATTGTTATCAACTACTGTAGAATGCAATAAGATGCACCTGTGATTAGTTCATGTTCCATGTGTTTATAATTAAGGGCCAATCACAAGAGCAAGCTGGGGACAGAGTCCCTAGACACAACTTTGTTATAGATTCTATTCTTAACTTAACAAACCTCTGCAACTTCTCTCTTTATTCCTATTAGTATAGTTATAATGTATTATATATCATATATCAATAAATCCAGCCTTCTGATCAAGAAACAAGATTCTCGTCCTTCTCTCTCACCCCAGCGACCTCCTCCAGTCACTGCAATAGAGCCCTGCACAAGTTGGATTAGAGAGCAAAACCAATATTGCAGGGCTTGTTCCCAAGTCTCTGAGTGGTGACAATGCAACAGAATGATCTAGAAAGCCTGAAATTACAGTGTATTTTCACTCACTAATTAGAGTTAAACCTTTCCTGGTCCTGTTTAAGAACAGTTAAGGAGAAGCAGTGAATATAACATCAGAGATGTGATTTAGAATTATTCTACATTGTTGTAGAAAAGACACTTTTTGCACAAACAAGACTTCAAACTTGGAACAAACAAGGTTGAATTGCAGAATGAGAGAGAAAAAAGAGGAAAATGAGCAGAGATGAGCAAAAGAAGGGAGTATCAGGAATACTGATCTCCTCCTTGTGGTCTCTGCAGGTCCAAAAGCCACCCTGAGCTCTTAAATCAATTCTATTCTCTGCAGCAGCACATTAATATTCAAATGTCAGAGGGACACAAAGAAGGTCACAGGAGGAGCCATCCCCTTGAAATGATCACCAGCAAAAAATCTGTTGAGCTGAACAGTTTGGGCTGAAGAATTGGCAAGATATTGATGGAGAAATGGAGCACTTGGTGCTGCCTCAGTAAAAATCCTTTTGGCTTTATTAAATCAGAGCCTGATGAGAGGGCTGGCCTTGACATGGGCACCGTGAAGACATGAATTAACTCCTAAAAGTGCCAGACTAACAGGGAATGATGCCAAGGCAGGGCTGGAAGTACCAGCACAAAGAAACCCAATAAAGAACAAGAAAAATAAAAGCAGTTATTGCAGTAAAACAAAAAATTTTCTGTTGGTATTAACAACTACCACACCACTACAAAGGCAGGTTTGCTCCTGTGGATTTAGAAGTGCAGAAAAATCAGATTAGAAAGAATTATTTCCCATAATCATCCTGAAAATCTTTTCACTGGATGAACACTTCCAGAATTCCTGAATCTGCCTGATTTGGGCTCCTCCTTTCCTTTTTCCTTTTTCCCCTTTCCCTTTCCTTTCCTTTCCTTTCCTTTCCTTTCCTTTCCTTTCCTCTCCTCTCCTCTCCTCTCCTTTCCTTTCCCTGTTCCCTTTTTCCTTTCCTTTCCTTTCCTTTCCTTTCCTTTCCTTTCCTTTCCCTGTTCCCTTTCCTTTCCTTTCCTCCCCTCCCCTTCCTTTTTTCCTTTCCTTTTTCCTTTCCTTTTTCCTTTCCTTTTTCCTTTCCTTTTTCCTTTCCTTTCCTTTCCCACCTGGGTAAGATAAAACCAGTCCCAAAGCCACATGAAGTGAGAGTGACCTGTAGATGGCTGTGTTGCTCCACGCTGCCCCAAGAGCTGATTGTGCAAGTGATTTTCTGTGAAATTCTGTAATTCCAACTGCACAGGGAAAAAAGGGATCACCTTGGCTCCCCAAAATGAATTCCAAACCTTCTGGTGGGTTTTGGTACAGGAAGAACACAACTCCAGGCCCTTCCCCAGCTGGTATTTCAATAAAATGACACTTCCCAATTGTAAAATAAGGAATAAAGGGGCAAAAACGCTCCAACAGTTCTTGTGTTGTGCACCAGTCCTGCTAAATATTCTAGTTTGGGTCATTTTGGGGAGTTTGGGGGAAAATCTGCTGGTTTTAAGAAGAAAAACCCCTCAGAAATGTTAATATTTCACCTTGTTTCACACCCAAAGTTTTTGGGGATGTGAATTTTTAACATTCTGAGAACCTTCTGCACTGCTGCCACTAAAGCAAGATTGAAGCATTTAATTAAACTTCAGAGGAGGAGAAAGAATTAGATAAAGAGAACAGGGGCACAAAGTGAGAGCCAGACAATGAAATGCTTTACTTTTCCATCTTCATTCCCTCTTCTGGTTCCTGACTCAAATCAAACATTTTTTACCCATGAAAGATGTTTTTCCTCAATGCCACAAACACTGGTCCAGGGCTCTGCTAAGTCAGCAACCCCCCCAGTGCCCAGCAGGGGTGACAGGAATGAATTCCCAGAAATTGTGGCAGAAAATTCCCAGAATTGGGGTTTGCTCCCCCCAAAGTGAGCAGAGAATGACCCTGCAGAGCAGAGTGCTGCTGCTGGGTGGGCTGAGCTCACTCCCCAGCCAGGCTGACTTACAATGATGTCCTGCCTGGTTTTGAAAGTGTTGATGTAATGGCTGTAATGGAAATCATCCATCTGCCTCAGGATGGCTGTCATGCAGGCCACGAAAATACCCTGCAAAGGGAAAGCCACAAATCACTGGTTATTCTCCTGGGTTAAGCATTGTAACTTCTAAAAGTGACCTGATCAAATATCACTGATCAGAATCCTCCTTATCTGTGTCCTGACATCAACCTGAGACTGCTCCTCCAAACCAGCCAAGAATTCCTAAAATTCAAGTTTGAAATCTGGGTATTGCCTTCTTTCTCCCCATGGATCACAAGAGAAACACATCCTCCCAACACAGAATTTTATTTTATATATATATTGACCCACTCCATCAGATCTTAAAGGTCTTTTCCAAGCTGACTCTGATTTTCAGATTTAGCAGGGTCAGCTAACAGAGTGTTTCAGAGTGAACAAATGAAAGATGATATTTAACAACAGAGACAGCTTTTAGTTCTCTCCAAGTCTCACAGGGAAATTGAATGGAGACAAGAAAACAAAAGGAAAGTGGGCCTGAGTTGGCAACACACCAGCTCAATTTCCAGTTCTCTATCAAATATTCACTAGAGCATGACACCCCATGTAGAAAGAAAAGATGTGACAGAAAGAATAATTTATATTTAAACAGGCAATATTTCCCAAGCCATCCTCAAAAATTTGGTTCTTGACAATCACAAAAACAAAACTTCATGGGTGGCACATTGAAGTGATCCCAGACTCATCAAAAATCAGGCAAATCCCCAGCTCCTGGCTTTCCCATCCTTCTGCACACGAACTCCAGGGTGAGTTAAAGCACCCCAGAGCTGCCTGCACCCCTCAGTCAGAAATGCCCCTGAAGGGTCTCATCCCCCAGCATTTCACCCTGCTGAGCCCAGGTGACAAAATGCAGCACAGATCCTGTGTCAGGCACTGCACTGACACAAAACTCTGTGCACAGGGGCCAAAAGGAAATGAAATCACCCCCAGTGACTCAGCTCAAACTGGAGTGGGATAACCTGAATCCTAATCCTCAGGAAAACACCAGGAGCCACGGCTGGGTGGCACAGAAGCCCTGCAGGGCAGGGAGAGATGAGTTCATCAGGAATGAACTGCTGCCCACTGAGAGCTCCCAGGGGATGAACCCACTGTCAGGGAGGGCTGGGGAAGGAGGGGAGGGCTCCCAGGGGATGAACCCACTGTCAGGGAGGGCTGGGGAAGGAGGGGAGGGCTCCCAGGGGATGAACTCCTCAGTTAAAGGTGTTGGGGAAGGAGGGGAGAGCTCCCAGGGGATGGAACCCCTCAGTCAGAGCTCTGAGGAGGCAGAGGAGGTGGGGAAGGCCTCTCAGTGACAGAACCCCTGTCAGAGCTCGTGAGGAGGCAGGGAAGGTGGGGAAGGGCTCTCAGGGGATGGAACCCCTCAGTCAGAGGCAGGGAAGGGCTCTCAGGGGGTAGAACCCCTCAGTCAGAGGCAGGGAAGGTGGGAAGGGCTCTCAGGGACTGAACCCCTCAGACAAGGCAGGGAAGGTGGGAAGGGCTCTCAGGGGATGGAACCCCTCAGTCAGAGGCAGGGAAGGTGGGGAAGGTGGGGCAGGGCTCTCAGTGACAGAACCCCTCAGTCAGAGGAAGAGGAGGCAGGGAAGGGCTCTCAGGGACTGAACCCCTCAGACAAGGCAGGGAAGGTGGGGAAGGTGGGAAGGGCTCTCAGGGACTGAACCCCTCAGACAAGGCAGGGAAGGTGGGAAGGGCTCTCACGATGTGCGGGCTCTGGCGGCTCATCCCGATCACCGTGCGGTTGATCCGGCGCAGCAGCCGCTCCATCATCTGCTGGATGTGCAGAGCAGTGGCACCCTGGGGACAGCGAGCAAGGGACACTGGGGACCATTCCTCAGGCACAGCCTGCCAGGGGCAGCTCCCTGTGTGGGAGGACTGCCCTGGCAGGGCTGAATTTCATTAGGGGAAGCAGAAAAAGGAGATTTAAGTGCACGAGCGATCGATTCAAACACTCTGGGATTCACTGGGTGGAGAATTCCCTTAATGGATCTGCCCCAGCTTCATCAGCTCGTGCTGGGGCTTTGACAGCTCTTCTCTGAACAGCTCAAAGCACTCTGCTCACAGGCACTCAGAACAATTCCCATGAACAGAGTGGGAAGTACATTTTTCTGGCTGAGCAGTGCTGTCCCTATTCCATAACTCCTCATTTTTATACCATGTAATACTTCTTTGACTTGCTTCAAATTACTGAACAAGCCACCAAAGCAGCTGAGATGACATTTTGGTCCCTAGAAAGGGAAGTAAATGCTTCTAGTAGTGATAACAACTAATTCAACCTTTCCTGGCTCCTCTTCAGACAGAGCCCTTACAAAGAACTGCACAGCAAGACATCCCAGTTTCCATAAATATCACAATTCTGACTCACTAAAGCACAAGCAGAGGATGTTTCTTTACTGTGACTTCTCAAAAGAAGAACTGAGCTGAACTGGCAGCCCTGAGAGCTCGTGCTCACCACATCTTTGCGGTCCAGGACCTCCAGGACACTGCTCAGGAGCTGGGAGCTGGCCTCGCGGTCGGGCTTGCTGGAGTTGTCATCCAGCTGCCCACTCAGCTGATCGATGAGCAGGGGCAGGAGGGCATCTCTGCACTCTGCAAAGGGACAGACACAGGGACAGAGCAGAGCCTCAGCACGCCCTGGGGATGGGCACCTCACAGGAGAGTCCTGCTCCTGATTCCATCTGGGACACCACAACCTGCTTAAAGCCTCTGGAGCTATGACAAATGGACTGGAGAGTCATAAATGATCTGGAATATGAATAATGGAATCCCAGAATGGGTTGGGTTGAAGGGACCAAAAAGATCATCTCATCCCACCCCTGCCATGGCAGGGACACCTCCCACTGTCCCAGGGGGCTCCAGCCTGGCCTTGGGCACTTCCAGGGATCCAGGGGAAGCCACAGCTCCCTGGGAATTCCATCCCAGCCCCTCCCCACCCTCACAGGAAGGAATTCCTTCCCAATATCCCATCTAACCCCACCCTTTCATTTATAAATTCTGTAAATTCCATCAAACAGCACCCACAGCTTGTCCCTTCTTCTGAATCACCACCCTGGATCAGGATCCCACACACTGGGCATTGTATAAAGGCTGGACAGCAAAAACCTCAGTTTCCATGGCAAGGAATGTTTCTAGAGCTGGATTTAGTGGTGGACTGCCCCTGATGACTGTCAGGGAACTCCTTTTGAAGGCTGTGTGCCCCTGGCAGAGCCCAGAGCCTCCCCAGTGCCACTCACCAGCCTGCTTGAACAGGTCACTCTCCACGATCTTGGTCAGGCAGTTCAGCTTCTGCCGCACCAGCTGGTTGTCAGGGATGCTCTGGATGAACTTGCTGAAGAGGACACTGTGGGCAAGGCAGAGGGAGCAGAGGGTCAGCACAGCCACCCAGCATCAGCATCAGCACCAGCCCATCCATCCCTCACAGACACTGGGCCACACATGGAACCACAGCACCCCACAATGGGATGGGTTGGAAGGGACTTAAAGCTCCCCAACTGCAGCCCCTGCCATGGCAGGGACACCTCCCACTGCCCCAGGATGCCCCAACATGGGAGGGATGGGACAGCCACAGCTCCTCTGGGAATTCCATCCAACAGGCACATTGCCACAGAGCCCTGAGTGATTTTCAAGGGACTTAGCACAGGCCTTAAAGTCCTGTTGAGGTGTTAGGGTGTGGGTTGAACCCATGATCTTTAAGGTCTCTTCCAACCTAGTAACAGAATTCTGTGAATTCTGTGAAAGCAAAACTGAGCAGTGTTCAGAAACTGCAGGCTTGAACCTCTTTAAATGAAACTTTTATTCCAGGACACACCAGGTGCATCCCAAACCCTATAAACAGGCAGTGCTCTGTGCCCTCACAGGTTAATCCCACTGCTCTGTGCCCTCACAGGTTAATCCCCCTGGCTGTCACACCCAGGGACAGTTTGAAAGCCTCATCTGAACGGACTCAGCAGCCTGGAGAAAGCTGGAACATGCCCAGCACAAAGGCACAGCCTCCTCCCAGATGCCCCTTCCATCAGCAGCAGTGACTCACTCCAGCCCCAGATTCCCTGTAATGAAATTCCACGGCCATTTGCTGCCTGTCTGCTGCTTCCCAGCAAATCACTTGTGGCAGGACAGGGAGACAGGGCTGGGCAGCTCTGGGCAAAGCTCTGAGCACCACAACCAGCAACCCACAGGGCTGAGAATTTCCTGAATAAACACAACTTTTGGGTTCCCAGCCAAGGCTCAGCCTTTGCCACACTTTTCAGGAGCATTCACCAAGAACTGGCTGGTGCAAACTTGCACGAGATTTCAACATTTCACTGCCCTCAGATTTTGCTTTTCAGTAAAATCTCAAGGTGCCTGTAAGGATCCCAGAATCCTGGAAGGATTTGGGTAGTAAGGGACCCTAAAATCACCCAGCTCCACCCCTGCCATGGGGAGGGACACCTCCCACTACCTCAGGTTGCTCCAAGCCCATCCAACCTGGGATTGGACACTCCCAGAATGAAAAACTGGGATGCAGAGAATCCTTTGAACTCCAATGACTTCCTCTAAAGCCCAGCAAGCACTTCCTTGAGTCCATGCACAGGATCTGCACCATCAGTTCATAACCAGAGTGGCTGTTTTTAATGAAGTTTCCAAAATTCTTCCTCCCAGATAAACTGGGTTTAGAGGACAAACAAACTTCACACAGTTACCTGAGCTCAACGGGGTCAAATACCAGTTTGACATCATTTATGATGCTTGGCAAATATTTTAAAGCTGCCCCCTGAAAGAAGAAAGAAACCAAGGACATGAAAAGCACATGGGAAATCCAGTGAGGACAACTGCAGAGAACTGGTTTAAAATAAAAAAAATCAAATTTATGCATCCAGAGAGCCTCCAGCCACCCCAGATCTGCAGTGCAGAGTGGGAAAGATGGAGGAGAAGGGATTCATGGATAATTCTCTCCTTCCTTTTTCTGGCCCAGCCCCTTCCCAACTGCACCAGTTGATCTAATTGAAGTTTTTCACTTTTCCCTGGAAATTCTGCTCACCTTGATCTTGACAGCCTCCTCCAGGGGCCGGTCCATGAGGACGTTGAAGGAGAGGAAGAGCTGGCGAATTGCATCGTTGAATTCATTCCCATCCTCACTCTTCCCATACACACTGCAAAGAACAGGGCCAGTCACACACACAAATCCAGCAGCTGAATCAGGATTTCATCCTGTGCAACAACAACATCTTCATACCATTTGCCTTGACAAAGCCATGGGGGTAAAAATGGAATTGGAGATTTTGCAGCCATTTCCTGCTGGGATCTGTCAGAGGGGAAAACCTGAACTTTTCAGGCTGCCACTGCAGCAAATTCTGCTTGGGTTCCAAGTACTGAACAGGAAAAAAAAATCCAGAATGGACATGAATAAAGGGTTTCAAACCCTCATTGTGAATCTCTGGAAAGATGTTTTTGAAGCTGCAGTTAAACCACTCTGATTTTACCCCAACTGGAGAATGTGTCATCTCCCACCTCACTTAATGACTGAAGTATCTGTGTATTGGTTTTTTAAAGTTTCTGAAAATGAGGAGGAAATTCCATGTTTTATTTTATAAAAATAACTACTGTGTTCCTATTCAGCTCTACCATGTGCTGCTTATTGCATGTTAGGGGGGACTAAAAGGTTTTTCTCCCTTCTAATCAGGTATTTCAATTTTTGCTCAACTCCTTTGTTCCAGCCACAGACAAAGGGCAGAAAGATCCTCTTAGTGAGTCAGTGATAGAGGATTTGGTGAAGAACATCTGCCTTAGTGATATTTACTGGAAGGAACTCCAGTGGGTTTCCCAGAGGAGGCCCAGGGAGGGAAGGCTGGACCCACCTCAGGTACAGCACCCGGGACTGCACGATGAACCTGAACAGGTATTTCAGGGCTTTCAGGGCTGCAAAGAGCAGCTCTGTCTTGCTGGAGTCCTCAGCATTCCCCACGTAGCAGTTCAGCACTTTGGTGAGTTTCCTTTGGAAATAGAACAAAAAGGGGAACCAATGCAGGCACGGCTCAGTTCCTGTGCAAGCCCAGCTTGCTCACCCCAGAGAGGAACTGCAGGCACAGGAACAGCCCAGGGCTCCTCCTCACAGCCCATCTCCTCCTCAAACCTTGGGCTGAAACTCTACAGATTGCATCCTCTGGCTCTGCCCTTCCTCTGCCCTAACAGGAGCTGCCCAGGAAGATGCAAACCCCACTCCAGGGGAAGGGACTGAGGCTCTGTCCCTGAGTGAGAACTCCCAGAGTGGGGCAGGAGGAGAAAAGGAATCCACGTGGAAGCAGTGGTTGTGTGGCAGGGCAGGGAAGGAGGCACTCCAGGAGAGGGGGACTTCAAGTTGTGTTTATTTTAGGGTGACAGCCAGTTCATATGGATCAGTAAAAATTAAAAGGAGATTTTCAGAGAGGGAAAGCAGTTTGGTTTCTGGTTTTGCCCTCCCTATTGGCCTCAGTTTGAACTTTTCACTTCTGTTACCACAAGGGTGGTGACCTTTGGCTGAGGGATGCTTGATCAAGAAAAGCCAAGATCCATGACAGAAGTCTTTTCTGTCTGATTTCACAGAAAAAAAATCTCACAACTGAAGTTTTTAGAGGGCAAAAGGAGCAATAAGAAGGATTCTTTCTCTCCTGAGTACAGAGAAGGGATGGAACTCTGCTCTCTGCTGCCTTTATCCCACTAACATCATCAAAAATTACCTAATGAAATCCATCACCAAGAGCTGATGTCATCCCCAAAGCCCTCAGTGCCACTGCTGGGTGACACTGGGCCAATACTCACACATAGGCCAGGGTTGCACTGAAGTGTTTGTAGATGTAAGTCTCGAGCACAGCGTTGAAATGCTGGAACTTGATGTCTCCAATCAAAGAAATAATAAACACCTGCCAAAAATCCAGAAGGAAACAGATGCACAGAGCTGCACACTAACTCCAATAGAACAGTCTCTAATTTATTTTGCTGGGTTATAATTTTGTTTTATCAACAGCATTAATGCTACAGAGAGTGTTATTCATGTTGTAACAGTCACAGTGTGTGTGGAATTTATTACTCTTTTCACTGTGGCTATTAAAACCTGATGTGTACTTCACTCCTGGCTCCTGAAACAGCCTTAAGAAGTGTTTAAATATCATTTATCTCTAAAGCAAAATGCCAATTGCTCATTGGAATCACCAGGAACAGACTGGAAATGTGGCTGAAAACAAACTCTGCAGCCATAAAAGATTCACTCACCAGGGCATCAAACACCAGGAAATCATAGGTTTCATTTTCTGACATTTCCATCATGATGTTGAAAAGTGCATCGAGGGTGTCTGGCAAAAACTAGAGGGGGAAAGGAACAGTAAAAGGTGGGGAAAGGCAACTGGCATCCTGCACAGGAGCATGAGCTGGATCATTCCTCCCCTTCCAGCCTGGCTGAACTGTAAATCCTGTCCCTGAGAAAACATCTCAGAAGGGATCCCAGCCCTGTGTCCCTGAGAAAACATCTCAGAAGGGATCCCAGCCCTGTGCCCATAACAAAACACCTCAAAAGGGATCCCAGCCCTGTGTTCATGACAAAACCTCTCAAAAGGGATCCCAGCCCTGTGTTCATGACAAAACCTCTCAGAAGGGATCCCAGCCCTGAGCACATGCACATGATTGTCATGATCATCTTTACAGTAAGGAAGATCTTTCTTCTCCGCCCTAAATGGCCCCACTTTGCTGTTCTAGTTTCATCCCACAGGATGAAAATCCTGAGCTCTCCAAAGCAGCCTGGGCCTGTCCCAGGCAGGACACTGCACTCAGCCTGTCTGCAGTGACAGTGACACATTAATGTCATGGTCAGCTGCTCCATAAAACCATCACCTTGCAATATCCCAGCACATTCACTCTTGGGACCCCTCTCTGCAGGTAAGGCCTCCTCCTAAATCCTTCATGTTTTCTGTGGGAATTCCCCCATTTCAGGTCCACTCCCCACAGTATTCTGTGAGATCTCTGGGCTGTCTCTGCTCTCAGACTCACAGCCCTCATTCACAAAGGAGTTGAAAATGAAAAGTTAGGCTTTGGATGTATCTCTTATTTCATAAGGATAAAGAGGAAAATAAAGTCACTGCTCTCTCCCTGATCCCTGTAATATTAAACTTCTGTAATTCTGGTGAATTCCACTAATGAGAGGTGGAGCACAGGCTCCCAGAGAAGCTGTGGCTACCCCATCCCTGGTGTCCAAGTGTCCAAGGCCACGTTGGAGCAAGGTGGGCCAGTGAAAGGTGCCCCTGCCCATGGCAGGGGGTGGAAAAAGCTGATTTTAAGGTCCTTTCCAAGCCAAACCATCCCATGACTTGATGATTCTCCCATTCCTCAGCACTCAGACCTGCCCTCCCAGCCTAGCCAGACAACACCAGGGTTGGTGGTGGGTCCAACACCAGGCTGACACACGAGAGCGTGAGCACCAAGGAGGCTCAGATCCCTGGGAATACCTTCACAATTTCTCCTCCTTCCACCTCCATGAGCTTCCTGAGGTTGTGGGCGATGTTGTGGGCGTTGGAGCGCCAGTTCAGCAAACCCAGCAGGTCAACTGCAAGGACACAAAGAGCAATCAGCAACTGCAGCTGCCTGAAGGGCTGCACAGAGCCCACAGCAAGGCTGGGGGCTATTTTTAGTCAGTGCACAAAGAACAATCACCCTGAGGTACAGAATGTTACCTTGAGGTGCTTTTGTCTTGGCAAAACAGCAAAGCTCTGCTATAAATGGAAACCTGGCTGCCATCTGATAACACATTTGGAGAGCATTTTGCAGGTTTTTTTAAGGACTCAAAAGCAGGTATCTCAAGCCAGGAATTTTATTCAAGTGCTCAACTCAGCACAGGCCCTTCCAGAGCTGCTGGAAGTCTCCCATCACTGAGCAGCCCAGGCTGCTCTTCATTGTGACCCCTTTGGCAGCAGGGCAGAGCTAATGCACATCATCACCCTGGAGAGCTCAGCCCTCAGTGCTGCTCTCTGAACAGGCAGAGGAAAGAAGGCAATTAACCCCAAACACTTCAAATTCTGATAAAACAGACACTGTCACTGACAGGTGACATTTCCACATGTGGTAACAACCTTGTTGGGTTGAGCACTGGCAGTCTGGATTGAGTATTTGTGTGAAAGGGTTTCTGGGGGCTGCACACACATTCTGGGAGCTTGATGGGACAGGGCTGCCACTGACACATGAGCAGCAAAATGAAAGCTGAAGCTCTCTGGCCACACACAAAAAGCTGCCTGAAGAAAATGCCCTCTGCAATTCAGAGCTCTAGCACAAGCCCTACCATTCTGGGTGAGTTTGGTGGAGCAGATGACAGTGGCAATCTGGAAGCTGTCCTTTGTGCTGTCCTTTGTGGGGGTGAAGTTGGCCAGAGAGTGCAGGTTTTTCCCTGAGGGAGCCTCCTTCTCCTCCTCTGTTTTGGTGCAAGGAAGAGTCAAATAACTCTTGGCATCTTCCATTTTCTTGTTGTCACCCTGTTGGTTGGACACAGCAGGGAGAAGGGTCATGGCCCATGGTGACAGCCAGAATGGGTTTGAAACATTTTCTCATCTCTATCATTGTTTGAGTTCCAAATTTCAGGGATAAATTGCCCATACTGCAATGAACTGAGCTATTTCCAAAGCCACAGAGTTTAGGAGAATTTCCCATCCCACACAGACATTTTGTAGCTTTCTACTGCTTGGAAAATCAGCCAGGAGAGAGTTTTGATGAGTCAAACATGAGACAAGGCTGGAAATGCCCAGGTTACCTTGTAAATAATCAAATTGTGTTTGCCATCCTGCAGTGTTGTTCCATCTGCATTCATCAGCTTCACAAAGCCCATGCCAAAAGCCCTCTCAGATCTGTCCCTGGCTGCAAAACAGGAGAAATCTTCATTAGCCATTGTCCTATTCATGTCCACACAATCCAAAATGCAGCCCTCTAACCTCATCAGCAGCTTTATTTAATAGGTAACTGCAGCTACATAAACACATCCTCCTGGAGCATCTCCCACACACAATTTTAGTGGTTTTTCACACACAGTTTTAGGGGTTTTTCTGGACAGATTAATGGTTGGACTCCTTGATCTTCCAGGTCTTTTCTAACCTTAACAATTCAATGATCCTCTGATATAGAATTCTGTAGGTATTTTTGGTTGGGATTTTGGTTTGTGAGCTGTGGATATGGAAGGATGTCACTGCCCTCAGAACCAGGTGCCTTTGACAGCCTTCAATGGCTGAGCCTCACATTCTTGATCTCATTTCAGGGCTCTGAAGTGATCTGATGGAACTTCTGGCTCTAATGCTCTCATTAGCCTTTCATTAGCCTAATTAGAAATCCTCCTATAGGAAGATCATTAGAAGCCCATCAGGCCTTGCAGTGGATTTTGGGAAATAAATTAAAAGCAACAACCTACACTGAGAAGCCAAAGTAATAACAAACATTGACAATTATCTTTCAGGGGGATAAACTGCTGCTCCTTACAAAATCTCAGTTTCAGGACAAAAACAGCACCAAATTCTGGGTGCAAAAATTTTGAATATTTTGGTTTTTTTGCTTGCCACAAACTGGGAATAAGTAAACTGAGCAAGAATAATATCTGTAACACTGAATAAGCAGAAATCAGAGTGGGAGGAGCGGAGCAGTCCCGCAGGGGTCCCTTCCTGGCACTCACACTCCTGGGACGAGCGGTGACGGAACGTGAACCTCAGGTGGCAGCGACTGACTTCTTCTATGGCAATGGCCACCTGCATGGAGAACAGCACAAAAGCAGCATTGTCCCTGTCCCCAGCCACTCTGCAGCACATCCCAGGGCTGATGCAGCTGCTGTTCCACATCAGCCCTGGTGTGCACACAGAGGAGAACACAGATGCTGATGTTTTTGGAAAGGGCTGTGACGGGTCAGACTGCCTGACCCTCGAGCAGACCAATGAGGTGTGCCACTGCCTGAGAATTAGCAAAGGCTTTTTACAAGAAAAACATACACAGCAAGGCTTGATTGGAAAGAATTTGATGGTTTATGTTGGAAATCTCTCTGACCATCCTAAATCAGCGTCTGATTGAGGTTCTGATTAACAACTGGCAAACTGCTGAAGAGACTCCTGAACTGTGCTTGCTCTCCTTCCTGCAAGGGGATTACAGACCCTGCCTCCTCCTTTCAACAAAAAGGGGGACCTGTGGATGTGACAGTTCAGTCAGAGAGAGAGAAACAGATAAACTTTCCCAGGAATTGTTCTGGGAAAAGCTGTGAGAAGCTCAGAGAAAGAATTAAACCAATCTTGCAGCTGGTGTTTTGAGCAGTTGTTTTCTCATAAGATATTTACCTAAGGGCGTCTTCTTAATTAACCAATGGTGTTGATTAAATGACCAATCAGGTTGTATCAGAAGGGTGTATAAAAAAATGGGTTTCTAATAAACTCAGATTAACCAGCTGGAGAGAGTCTGTGTGCGCCTCACTGCTGCTCCTGACTCAGGTGACACACAGTGATGACAGAGCCATACCTTGACAGTCTCGTACCAGCAGGGCTGCTTGACCTGGTAATAAACCACAGACTTGTACTCTGACACTCCCTCGTAGCCAGCCCCAGGGTGGATGGCTTTCTTTGGACAAAACACAGGGAGGGGGAAAAAAGGTAAATATGGAGGATTTTGGGTATAAATCTTCAGAGGGTGTCAGAGGCCATCCTACCTCCTGCAGGTTCCCATCCTCATCATGCACAGACATGGTGACCTCGACGTTCTTGGGGGTTTTCTTCTTGCCTTTGTCAAACTCCCCCTGGATCAGGGTGACGTAGATGTCATTCCTGACATCACCTGCAATTCCCAGAGTTTAATGAGCTGGATTCTCATTCCCACTGGGACAGCTTGAAATTTAACACCCTTGGGTACCATGTTATCCTAATTTCCTCTTAGCCTTTAATTAACAACACCTCCCATCACACCATTTTCATCTCTGTCTCAAATTACACGAAATCTTCTAAAATGAACTTTCTACAAACCTCTGTACTTATGTTTTGTTTTGCTTTTTAATTTAATGAGCTCTCTAGGGTTAAACCCACTCTGAATGGGTGGGTCAAAGCCATATGCAACAAAAATTATGTTGACTAAAGAGACTAAAAATTATGTTGACTAAAAACTAAAAATTATGTTGACCAAATTTTCTTCCAAAAGCTCCATAAATCACCATTTTGCCATAAGAAAGGCAACTCATGTTTTCAACTTCTTGAGACAAAAAATCAAAAAATAACCAGGAAGTTTGAAGAAAAATATAAAGTTTTCAGATAATTTTTTTAAAAAAATCTTTTTGTGACAGGAATTCTAGAATTTCAGGTTCTTTCACTCCATGGAATGCAGAAGCACACAGGACCTACCAGGAAGGATGATCTCAGGGAACCCCATTTTTCGAGCCACTGCAGTGGATCTGTCTACCAGGTGGGAAAAATCCTTCTGAACCTGAGCCAGATCCCCAGGGAGCAACTTCAGGGAGACCCAGAGACCTAAGAAAGGGAGATGACACTTGTTTACTGAAAAAAAACAGGTACAAACCTGTGAAATTTAAGCCTGTGCTTCCAAAAAAATCTGTGATTTCATGACAATTCCATGTCCCCGTCTGGTTCTCTCTTGCCCAGTCCTTCCTGTCCCTGAATCTCAGTAAGATTTTTCTGGGCAAGAAGATTCTCTGAAGCAAGTCCCAAACTTTCAGAGATGAATCTTGAGTATCTTTGAGCCAAAGAAGACCAGAAAAATCTGGAATAATGTGTTTTTCAATTTAAATGCACATTTACATTGATGTGCACTGTCAGCTCATAGCAGTGAATGTGAACATAGTGAATACATCCTGATAAAATACTCTTATAAAATACCCTTTGAGAAAGCCAGGTGGCACTGGGGCATTTCAAGGCAAAGAAATTCCACTGGTATTCAAATGCTGCTCCTCTGGATATTGATTTCCACCAAGGATTTCAAGCAAGCCCCTTCACAAGAAATCCCAGGAATAAAATAAGAATTGGCAGTCTGGTTCACCAAGGCTCCTTTAAAACCTCCAGCTTTATCCCATGAGTCCTGAGGAGCAAATGCCACTCTGATAAGGCCCTGATAAGTCTGCTGCAGCCAAAGAAGACCAGAAAAATCTGGAATAATGTGATTTAACCCCAAAGCCATTTGGGACACACAGCCACGTCTGCTTACAAATATTTCACCCCCCATAAAACACTTTTATTTTAAAGGTGTTAAAAAATATTGACCTTAAACGTATGACTAGCAAGCGAGGAGCTGGAGGAGCTGCTCTCATGCAAGTTTTGTCTGGTTTTATCTGGATTTCAGCTCCATGTGTGATGGGACAAAGGGACAAAGTGAGAACCATGGCAAAGACCATTGGGCTCGGGGAAGGGATTAAACTCCACCAAACCTTGATTCCTAGACTTTCACCCCCCATTTATTCCCTGGAACCTCCCCCAGGCTGGTTTCCCCAGGCTGCACCTTGGCCCTTGTGGTTGACCTCCTTGGCAGCGATGACTTTGTTGAAGACGGAGGTGAGGGGCTCGTTCTCACCGATGACGTGCGAGGTGATCAGGGGGGACATGATCAGCTGCCGCTGCCTGATGTAGGTTTCCATGGCAATCCTGGGCAGGGGGGCCACAAAAACGGGGTCAGGAATTGCGACAGACTGACACCAACCACATACAGGAGAGGGCTGGCCAGCAGCTGGCCGGTTTACAAATAAATGTGGGGCTTTTTAAGGATTCCATGGGGATTTTCATTCCTGCACCTACATAAAATCCATTGAAACTTTCACACTAGGAGATGCACCACAGTCCATCCCTCAGGCCTAAGGTAAGTAACAATGACCTCAGGAATTAAGCCCTGACTTCAGGTTTGCCTCAGAGCTGTCTCTATGCAGATTAACTATTGGTAAACTAATATAAATTAATATAAATTATTGACTGCTGTGACAACACCTATGGGTTGAACCCATCCCCAGTCACAAACAAGACTAGTGAGGTTTGGATCTTGAGCCTGACTTCACTCCTGTACCCACACCACCAATAATGAGGCAGAAATGAGGTCTCCGCAGGCTGCCCACACTGGTGTCCAGCTGGGGGTCTGAACTCAGCCTCACTGGAGCAGAAGAAAGATGGGAAAAAATCCCAAACCAACAAAACAAAAAACTAATCAAACAAACAAGTAAAAAAAACCAAAACAAAACCAAACAAAACAATTAACAAAAAACAAACAAAAACCCCAAATCAAAACAAAACCACCTAAACCAATAAAAAATAAGCAATCAAACTCACAAAAAAAAAAAAAAAAAAAACCCTAAAAAAACCAAGTAGCAGACTAACGTTTTTCTGCAAAGGGAAAGCCATCCCTCCAGGGCCTGAAAGGGCAGGGAAACAAACCCAAATCTCCCCTGAAAATACCCTGTAATAACAAATGGCTGCAGCCAATGCTTTGCTCTATTTAGGGCTGTAACAACAAGGCTGGGTCTACCCAAACAAGCTCCATTTTCATTACTCCAATGTGCCAAAAAAGGGGAGCAATCAGAGCCGGCAGAACAAACACACAAGTCCATCTCTCAGTGCAGAAATGCAGAACTCATTGGGGCTGGAATTTCTTCCCCAGAAGAGGGAGAACCCCCCCTTCCCTATGACTGACCAAGAAACGTGGGTAGGGAGTGGCCCAGAGGGTCCCACACAGCAGGGACAGAAAGCTGTGTCTCTGCTCAGCCTCTCTGAAAATCCTGCCTTTCAACCCCACAACATTTTGTAAGCCACATTCCCCCAGCCCCACAACATTATTCCACTCTGTGCTCCTCCTCCTCACCCCACAGGTATTACAGCACCCTGCATGGGGTTGCTGGGGTGAGAGAGAGACAAGAATCTTGTTTCTTGATCAGAAGGTTGGATTTATTGATATATGATATATAATACATTATAACTATACTAAACAGAATAAAGAGAGAAGTTGCAGATGCTTGCTAAGCTAAGAATAGAAAGAAAGAATTTATAACAAAGTTGTGTCTAGGGACTCTGTCCCCAGCTTGCTCCTGTGATTGGCTCTTAATTATAAACATGGGAACATGAACCAATCACAGGTGCAATCTTATTGCATTCTACAGCAGCTGATAACAATTGTTTACATTCTCTTTCTGGGGGCCCTTGCTTCCCAGAAAACGAACAAGTCCCAATGAAACATTTCTATGAAAAAATGTCTGCGACATACAGGTACCCAGAAATTCCAGCTGCAAGGCTGAAGTCCCCAAGCAATTGAGTCTCTGACAGAGCCATGAAAACCACGGGGAACAGAGGCTCCTGAGGGTGACAGGAACCTCTCCCTGCAAAGAGCTGCCTCTGCTATCAGCTGATCTGTTTGTAGAGCCCCTGGGGCTCTGCCAGGCTCCATCTGCCCTTCCCCAGAGGATGCCTGCTTTGGCCAGGGGTGGGTGAGCCCTGCAGCCCAGTACTCACTGCTGGAAGGGGATAAAATGCTGCTTCTCCTCGTCGTCCACCTTGCCATGGATGATGTCAGTGATGTCCATCACTGCAACGACACCAGAGCATCACTCAGAGCTGCCCAGAGCCCAGAGAGAGCTTTGCCCTCTCAGAATGGAAACAACAAGGGGTTACTTTGGGCCAGTGTCACTCAAAACAGGGGCTCTGAGCGACCTGGGATAGTGGAGGGAGTCCTGGTCACGGCAGGGGTGGAACTGGATGGGATTTAAGGCTATTTCCAACCCCCAAAAAATCTGGGATTCTGTGACAGCAATGAAGGGCATCACTCTCATTTTAACCTTTTAAAAAACGCATTTAAATGTGTTTTTCAATTTAAATGCACATTTACATTGATGTGCACTGTCAGCTCATAGCAGTGAGTGGGAACATGTTGAATACACCCTGATAAAATACTCTTATAAAATACCCTTTGAGAAAGCCAGGTGGCACTGGGGCATTTCAAGGCAAAGAAATTCCACTGGTATTCAAATGCTGCTCCTCTGGATATTGATTTCCACCAAGGATTTCAAGCAAGCCCCTTCACAAGAAATCCCAGGAATAAAATAAGAATTGGCAGTCTGGTTCACCAAGGCTCCTTTAAAACCTCCAGCTTTATCCTATGAGTCCTGAGGAGCAAATGCCACTCTGATAAGGCCCTGATAAGTCTGCTGCAGCCAAAGAAGACCAGAAAAATCTGGAATAATGTGATTTAACCCCAAAGCCATTTGGGACACGCAGCCACGTCCCCTTACAAATATTTCACCCCCCATAAAACACTTTTATTTTAAAGGTGTTAAAAAATATTGACCTTAAACGTATTACTAGCAAGCGAGGAGCTGGAGGAGCTGTTCTCATGCAAGTTTTGTCTGGTTTTATCTGGATTTCAGCTCCATGTGTGACGGGACAAAGAGACAAAGTGAGAACCATGGCAAAGACCATTGGGCTCGGGGAAGGGATTAAACTCCACCAAACCTTGCTCCCTAGACTTTCACCACCCATTTATTCCCTGTTATCTTTGTGGGAGGTGACAAAAGTGAGCAGTGACAGTGTTTGATCTCCAGCTACCACCTTCATGAAGATCTCAGAGGGACAATTTATCCACCCTGGAGCAGCAATGCTGGCCCTGGCAGCTCCCAGGCTGTGCTGGCACTTACAGCACACAGCTCCCCGTTGCCAGCCCCGTGTCCCAGTGCCCCCAGGGGTTTGCTGGGCCCTGCAGGTGCCCCCAGCGTGACAGTGCCCACCTGCCACGCCGAAGGGCCTGCGCAGGCCGCAGGTGTGCTTCTTGCCATCCTTCAGCTCCATGTGCCCCACGCGCACGATCTGGCACACCAGGCTGATCCTGGGCCTGATCAGGTCTGAGCTGCTCAAGTCCTGAAAAGAGAGCTCACATCAACCTCCATCAAAGCCCTTCTGAGGGGAAAGGAGAAAGAAGGAGAGGGGGAGGGAGGGAAGAAGGGAGGGGAAATGGGGGATCCCCCAGCCAGGGCATAATGTGCTTTGGCTCCATGATTTCAGAAGGCTGAGAAATTGCTTTATTGAGCTATACTATATAATACTATAATAAATAATAATACTATACTAAATATTAATAATACTAATTACTATATACTATATATATGTATATATATGCACTATATATAGATAGATAGTATATATATAGTATAGATACTATACATTACAATACAATACTATACAATACAATACTATACTATAACTATACTATACAATACTATACAATACTATACAATACAATACTATACCATACAATACTATACAATACAATATTATACTATACTATACTATACTATATTATACAATACAATACTATACAATACTATACAATACAATACAATACAATACTATACTATACAATACTATACTATACTATACAATACTATACTATACTATAACCATACTATATTACATCCTAAAGAGATACTAAAGAAAATCCCATGACTGTCTGAGACAGCCAGGACACAGCTCTAACCCAACTAGCCAAGGAAACAAAACAACCTTCACCAGTGTCCAGTAACCAAATCACTTTAGGTAAACAATCTCCATAACACATTCCACATGTGCCAAACAGGAGCAGCAAGCAAAGGTAAGAATTGTTTTCTTTTCTTCTCTGAGCTTCTCACTGCCTTCCCCAGGAAAAATCCTGGCAGAGAAAATTGTGTCTCTCTCTGTTCAGGGAATGTGAATACCACAGGAGGGGTTTGGTTGGGTTCTATACAGGTAAAAACTGTGGCCTTCTGGATCTGGAGGGAGACCATGAGGGGGATGGACACACTGACAGTGCCAGGACACAGGGAATGGCTTCTCCCCAGAGGGAGAGATAGGGTTCTGGGGAGAAATCCTTCCCTGTGAGGGTGGGGAGGGGCTGGGATGGAATTTTCAGAGAAGCTGCCCCTGGACCCCTGCAAGTGCCCAAGGCCAGGTGGGAGCAGCCTGGGACAGTGGGGGCTGTCCCTGCCCATGGCTGGGGTGGCACTGGATGGGATTCAGGTCCTTCCCAACCCAGCCTGTTCTGGGATTCTCTGAACTTACAGTAAACACTGCTTGGAGGTTGTTCAGTTTCTCAATTTCTTTAGGCATCCCATTGCTGCCCCAACGAACCAGGTAATTTTCACTGCAAAGAAAGGGAGAAAAAGTAAATTTGAACAAATCAACACCTGACATCCTCCTTTCCTGGCAAAAGCCCAACAGCATTTTAATCTTTAAGGACTATTTGACCAATCTTTTATCCCAAAATGCCTCTGAAGTGACTCACTGATGGAGGCAGGATGGGGTGAGCCCTGGCAGCTGCTGCCCTGGACAATTCCCACTGCATGGCCACACCTGATAAGTGCAGTGATGGACACAGAGTGTTCCTGACACAGAACTGCCTCCCTGATAAAGCTCCTCACATCCTCCCAACTCTTCAGATGTGAACTGGCACTGACTGGACAGCAAACATCATTTAAATCCATGATTTACTGGGAAACAATTAATAAAATACTTAACCAAGGCTTGCAGCCACAGCAGAGAAAATTAAGAATATAAAAAGACAATGTGGGATCAAAGAAATACCCAGCTTTAGGAGGGACAGTGCCTGGACTTCCTATCTCTCTGAAACTCATTCCAAAGTAATTTGAATTAATTTTCCCCCACTGGGGCAGCAACGAACAGAACTGGAAAACATCTGCAGGATCTCCCTTTCTAACCTGCTGACTTCTATGAACGATCACCCTGATGACTACATTGCTTAAGAATTCCCAAAAAAAGCCCTACCTGATGAATTTGGAGAGGTCAGGGTCATAGAGGCTCATCAGCAGCTCTGCATCTTCCCCAATGTTGCAGACAAAGTTCTTGAAGTTCACATAGAGGCTGTAAGTGTGTGTGGAGTTGAATATTGGCTGTCCCCGGAGGTCCAAACTCTGCTGCAGGGACTGCAAAGAATTCCATATTTCCATTACATTTTATATTTTCATTACATTTTGTATTTCCACTACAAACAGGAGAATTTAGTTCTGCTGCCAGAGGAGCACAACATGAAGAGGAATATAAAAGCTCAGTGGGCACGGAGGGCAAACCAGGGACAGCAGAGGTACCTTCTCCTCCTGGATCCTCTCATCAATCCTCTTGGATGCAGTTTCATGGGCCTTGAAGAGGGAGATTGTGCTGGTCTCATCTGGGTCCAGGATGTTCCCATTGTCATCTCGGACAACCAGGTCCAGACCCAGGATCCTGGACAGCCCCAGGAGACACAAAAGAGGCAGAATGTGGCAGCAGCAAAGATCAAATCACTGCCTGGACTGTCAGTGCTCAACTCCTTGGAATAACCTCACTCACTGCTGGTTTTCTTGTCTCAAAAAACTCCTCCCTCCCATTTCCCCATTGAAGAGAGAAGGAATTTGTCAGGCAAGTCAATCCTAAGGTGACATCTCCCTTATTCCTGCTTAAATGGCTTTGTTTCAAAGGTGGATGAGTATCTACAAAGCTCCCAGATTGCAGCTGGTTGTTATTCTTTGCCAGAAGCTTCTTCTTAATTTGCTCACTGGACCTGGGTCACAGCTGACAGGCAGATGAATGAGTCTTGGGGACTGCAAACCACTGGGGGGGCTGGGGTGTCTGTGGAATCCTGCCCCTCACTGCTGAGAAAGCAGAGCACTTCCCCACCACACCCAAACCCAGGCACACACTGTGCTCCAAGGGCAAGGCCCCCCCGTGCCAGGATTTGAGCAGAATTAAGAGAGGAGAATTCCTGCCAAGGCACAGAGACCTGTGGCACATCCAGAACCAACTGCTCCATCTCCACCTGCCAGGTGGCCACGATGTCTCACGGACTCAAAGCTGCCATTTCACCTCATTTCAGCCTGATTCAGTGCCTGGCTTGGCATTAAGGGCCTTCCCTGGGGTTTGGGAGCTCCTCTGCCCTGCAGGTGGAGTCTGGAGCTCACCTGTTGCCATAGTCAATCTTGGCAGTGACTTTTTTCTTGAGCTCAGCCAGTTCATCCTTGGGCAGGGTCCCGGAGAGGATTTGGGATCTCCACTCTATCAGGCTGTAGGTGAGCTGCTGGACATGCCTGAACTGTGTGGTTTTGTTGTTCTGAGGCAAAAAAAAAATTGGGCAATTTTAACCAAAGAAAACCTGGGAACCTTAGCTCAGCAACCCTTCTGAAATGTGTGCAGCTGCAGAGCCACACAAGTTTTACTGAACTAAAAATACCTGGCACTTTGTGACACCACAAAAGATCAGAGCCACACAGTAAATTCTGCAGCACTTGGCACTGCCAAGGTTTAAGTGCCTTTAAGATCTTTTAAGTGTCTTTAAGGGCTTCACCTTTCCCTGGGACATTATTGCAGAAAAACCTCACCCACTAAAAATAGATCTCTGGTGATTTCCAGCACTTCCAGACTGCTCTGATGGAGGTTTTTTATAAAAGGGACAGAGAAATTATATTAAAGGAGCACAACTGAGCAAGGACACTGAACAAAACCTGCCTGGTGAAGAGTCCCCTCCTGCATTCCTGTTCCCATCTCTAATTAATGAAAATACTTCCCATGCCCTTCACTGGTTCCACCCTCACAAAATCAATGCCATCCCCACACCTTGTTCCTGCACCTCCAAGGCTGTAATTAAACATGGATATGTGGTAAGCCACCCTGTTTGTGGCAGTGTGTGCTTAGATATAAGCTCTTAAAGTGTCAGGGAAGACATTCAACCCATTAAATAAGGGAGCCCAGGCTTCCCTCTCTCTCTGCCACCTCAGTGGGGCAGCTCCTGGGAGGATTCTGACTCTTTGCCACAGATTTGAGTCACTGGCACAGTGATGAGGTTATTCAGCTCCAAAGGAGAAATTCAAGCCTAACTCGGTGCCTGGGTTTGCATTAAGAGCCTTCCCTGGGGTTTGAGAGCCCAAAGGCCAGGAGCTGGGTTTGGGTCACATCTCCCCCACAGCCAGTGGTGCTTCTGGTGCTCCCTGGGGGCTGGAGCTGTTCATGGTGAGCTGCAAACCCCCCCTGCTCCCACCCAGCACAAAAAGAACCTAATTGCAATTATCTCCTCATTATCATCTCTGCAATGAACAGGGATGACACAAATTACTCATATTTCCCTCAAATTTAAAGGTATGAAAACAATCCTGCCTGTGATTTGGGTCAGCCTCAGTTGATTTGAGTGAACACCAAGGTGCTGATGTGGGCTGCTTGAGGTTTTAGCCCTATAGAAAGGATTTAAGATATATTTCATAAACAACCCCCACCCCATGTTCTTACATAAAAAAGCTTGCAAAGGCAATTCGTGTGAATTTTCAGAGCAGACCTCAATTTGACCTGAGTTATCTCCACAGCTAATTCCTATTAAGCAGACCAATTAAAAACTTTCCCCATTTTTGTATTTATTTTGCAGTGGAGATAAAGCCACTGCTGCAGTGAAACCCCCAGAAATTAAAGAAGTGAAATTAAATGCTGCCAAAATAAAAAATCCCCTCATGTTTCCTTTTTCTCCTCAAATGCCTCCTTCCTCCTTTAGCTTTTAAAAAAATTCTTTTAATACATACTGCAGGGAAAATAAAATAAACTCAAATCCATTTTAAACCACAACATTTTCCAAATCTATTTTAAGACTTATAGTGGTTAAGCACAGGAACATGAAAGATTTCTGCTTGTTAAAAAAACAGATTCTGAGGCTGGGACCTGAAAGTTATTCAGAAATAAAAAATGCCGGGAACAAAACTCTCTTTTCACACAGTAATACCATCACGTAGAGCTTCTCATTAAATTGAGAGGGTGGAATAAATTCTTGTGGTTTTGTGGCACACAAACACAACTTATTTGTGGCCTGGTGAAATTTCCAATAGGAAAACTTGCTCTGGGTGCACTGGGTGATTAGAGCTCATTTCAACTCACTCCCTCTTCTTAATTAAAGTATTGGAGCACAATTTGTGCAGGCTGAACTCGTTACTGCTCAGAGAAAAATCAAATTTGACTCTTTAATGTGTCTTTAAAATAAAGCAACTCCCTGTGGACTCATTTCTTTGAGCAAGAAGCACCTGCTGCAGGACAGTCCTCAGATCCCTGCAGTGCCAGCTTGTGACACTGCTGAGGGGACTCTGTGCTCAGGGATTTGGGACATGAGAGCTCCTTCCCCACCCTGCTGAGAGCCCCAGCCATGGGAGGCCTTGTGGCAGCCAAGGGATTCCTTCTGTGGGGCAGGGACAGGGCCCAGGGAGGGCTGGGAATGTGCCAGGGAGGGTCAGGCTGGATTTTGGGAAAGGCTCTTCCCCCAGAGGGTGCTGGCACTGCCCAGGCTCCCCAGGGAATGGGCACGGCCCCGAGGCTGCCACAGCTCCAGGAGAGCTTGGACAGCACTCTAGGGATGCCCAGGGTGGGATTTTGGGGTGTCTGTGCAGGACCAGGAGCTGGATGAGTGAGCCCTTCCAGCCCAGAACATTCCATGATGTGCTTTGTGACAAGTCACATCTGCCCCCATGGCACATGCCTGGTTCTGCCCCTTCTCCCGTCCCTGTTTCCCAGGGGAGCTCTGGGTGGGGATCAGCCAGTCCATGGGGTTCCCACAGCCCTCCCAACCCAGCAGAGCCCACCCTGCCCACAGCTGTGTCAAACTCCAGCCCTGTGCCCAGCTGGGCTTCCCTGCCCTCGTGCAGGGCTGGCAAGGACAGTCAGAGCAGGGCCTGGATCTCCCAGGAGAGCTGGGCCCTCCAGGCAGCCCTGACACGGTGACAGTGTGACCTGTGCCAGGCCCTGCTGCCCCAGGGCGGGGACACCCACAGTGTCCCCCTGCCTGTGTCACATGGCACAGCTGAACACTCTGAGCCCCCCAGGCCCCATTCCATCACTCAGTTCTGCCCCAGGCAGAGGCACAGAGCTCCCTGCAGAGCCCAGGCTGAGCTCCCCTCACAGCCACCATTCCCTAGCTGAGCTCCCCTCACAGCCACCATTCCCAGGCTGAGCTCCCCTCACAGCCACCATTCCCGGGCTGAGCTCCCCTCACAGCCACCATTCCCAGGCTGAGCTCCCCTCACAGCCACCATTCCCAGGCTGAGCTTCCCTGCATAGCCACCATTCCCAGGCTGAGCTCCTCTCACAGCCACCATTCCCAGGCTGAGTTCCCCTCACAGCCACCATTCCCAGGCTGAGCCCCCCTCACAGCCTGAGCTCCACTCATAGCCCCAGCCCCAGGCTGAGCTCCCCTCAGAAGCTGAGCTCCCCTCACAGCCACCATTCCCAGGCTGAGCCCCCCTCACAGCCTGAGCTCCCCCCAAGGCCCCAGCACCAGGCTGAGCTCCCCTCACAGCCACCATTCCCAGGCTGAGCCCCCCTCACAGCCTGAGCTCCCCCCAAGGCCCAAGCCCAGGTGAGCTCCCCTCAGAGGCTGAGCTCCCCTCACAGCCACCATTACCAGGCTGAGCTCCCCTCACAGCCCCAGCACTCACCACGAACAGCCTGTGCCAGGTCACTGCCCACTCCCCCCATAGCCACCGGGCCCAGGCTGAGCTCCCCTCACAGTCACCAGGCCCAGGCTGAGCTCCCCTCACAGCCCCAGCACTCACCACATACAGCCTGTGCCAGGTCACTGCCCACTCCCTCCATAGCCACCAGGCCCAGGCTGAGCTCCCCTCACAGCCCCAGCACTCACCACATACAGCCTGTGCCAGGTCACTGCCCACTCCCTCCATAGCCACTGCCCACTCCCCCCAGGCTGATCTCCCCTCACAGCCCCAGCACTCACCACGTACAGCCTGTGCCAGATCACTGCCCACTCCCGCAGTGTGGCCGTCAGCTCCTGGCCGAGGGGCAGCTCACTGGGAATCACCGTCTCGTGCTGCCTGGGGAGAAGGGAGACATCAGAGAGAGCTTTCACACTCAGGGCTTGAACTTAATGGAAAACACCCTTTTTTGATAAATGTAAAAATGGAAATTCCAGAGGAGTTGATGTTCACACAATTCACTCATACATGATGTCAAGGCCCTTAAGCTGTTCTCAATACACACACATCCACATCCATCATCCATTTTTAATGCAAAATGCTTCAAGCTTCTTTCACTCCCTCTTATTCCCCATGGATTTGTTCCAAACCCAGGATAAAGAGACAGAAATTAAATTTGGAAGAATCCCCACACGCAATGGTAACAGTTACCTGAAAATAAGAGCTGAAAAAGAAGTGTTTTATAAAGTTCCTTCCTTTGCAGCCGCTGTTTTGCTCTCACTTTACGAGCACAGATAGAGCTCAAGGAATCCAAGGAGGAGTCATTTCCTCCAGTGTTTTCCAAGACAGGAAGGAATCCACGCTCCTGCTGGGCCCTGGCTACCAGCAGGAGTCTGCTATGGCTTCCAGGAGTCCCCAGGGGAGCTGGATGGAGCTGGACTGACCCTCCCCACTACTGACTTGTCCAGCAGAGCTTCCTTAACCCTGCAAATCATCTCCTGCTGCCCTCACTCCCCACTGCTCTTCTTTGTCAGTGCTCCGAAAAATGGAATTATGCATTGCTAGTCCAGCTCAGGAGATACGCCCTGGTTTTGTGACAGCTACAGCTGTATAAATTGGTTCTTTGGGGTTTAAAGGGAATGAAATTCCCTGGGTTTTGCTGCCAAAGAAGTGCCAACCTACCCCCGGTCCTTCACGATGGCCTCTTTCAAATGGATGTAAGTTTCTGGGAAAATGCCCTAAAAATAAAGAGAGAAATGAAATAAATCAATTCTACTGTGGGATAGGATGTGACAGAAAGATATTTAACAAAAAACAGGGGAAAGGAGTAAGAAATGTCCCAGTATGCCAGGAAAAAGGACAGGGAGGAGCAGCAGGTTCCACATTGGCAACTCAGAGAAGCTGATTCCTTGTTTTACACCAATGACCCTCATCTTCCTGCAGAAAATGCTGGAAATTCTTGAAAATTATCAGTCACTGCCATGAAATATTCCTGGAGTCAGGCTACCCTGTGCTCCCTAGAAAAGCTCCCACCACCAGCACCTGCAGAAATTCCCAAATTTGTGTTGTTACAGAGAAACCTTCTGGAAATGCTGGAATCCTTTTTTCTGTTCCCTTTTCTCTCCTCTTTATTCCTAAAAGCAGAAGCTGTGGGGGATGTTACCACAGGAGAGTTGCCAGCATTCCTGGGGGAACCTGGATTTCCAGGTAGCTTCCAGCCCAAGCTCCAGCAGCTCAGGCTGAGAGCCAGGGATGTGTAATTTCTGGAATATTTTCCAGTCAAAACCCTGATGTTCCCATTAAACAGAACTAATGCTGGATGTGCACAGGCCCCAGAGCATCATGATAAAGCAATAATCTCCTGTATGGAGATGGGAACAGGTAATTTTGGAAGCTCCAACTGCATTCCTCATGCTTCCAGTGGAGGAATTCCCAACACATGGCTCTGAACTTTCAGCTCAAGGTCATTGATTTCTGTCACTGAGGACAGGAGTCCTGCCTGAGGTGAAGACAAGAAATACAGGAGTTTTCAGCACCAGATGGGGTCTGGCAAGGTGTGAAATTAAAATGGGAGCCACCCAAAAGTGAGGTCGTACCTTCCTGGATTTATTCCGGAGTGTGTATCCTCGGTACCAGCCTGGCAAAGCAAACACAGATATTTGTATTTCATTATTTCCTGTTGACAGCAATTAAACACAAATTGTGATTCTCACCACCTCTCTATAACACCAATTTGGGATCCACTCCTGGGAAGACAGCTCTGTTTGTAGGAGCTGAGCTCCCTGCCCTGACACAAATCCTGTTTATCAATCAGACCTTGATAAGATCTAAAAATTCTAAGACAGATGCAACAATTGTGCTGCCCAGGCCTCAGGAGCAGATGTCTCTGAGGGAACATTTCTCCTCTCTTTGGCACCTGGGTTTTACCCAGGATTTCCATGGAATGGCTTGGCTTGGGTTGGGAGGGGCATTAAAGCCCATCCAAGGAGATTATGTCCAGCTGAGTGGCAGCATCAAGAAGGCAAAGGGGTTTAAGAGAATAATCAGGCAAAGAAGAGAGGAGGGGAGACCGGTTTCTCTGGGTTTGGTTTTAAATTTTTTTTTTGTGGATTTTTTTTTTGGTGGTTTTATTGTTGGTCCCTCCAATATTCCTATATTTATCAAAGAAGGTTCCATAAAGAACCATGGATTTGACACTCCTCAACCATAAATTAGAGCCTAGAATGATTTAATCCAGGTTTTTTGGAGTATTTTTATATGCATGTGGTTGTATTTCTACTTATTTATTTTCTGAAGTGCAGCTTTGTGCCCTTTCTCCAGCAATCGGGAGGTACCTCCACCTCAAAACTCCCAATATTCCAGTGATAAATTAGGAGGAAAGAAGAAGTTCAATTTCTTTCCACAGGAGGAAAATAAGATTATCCATTGCTCATGGAGCCATGGATGAGGTCCTGGATTAGGGATGAGAAGATTTAGGTTCTATTTTTATCTAACTGTCATTAATTGAAGGGGAAAGCACAAATTACTCAGGGTGGGAGACAGAGCTCATGGAATTTACCAGGAGGGATTTCAATCCCATTTAACACGTTCAGCCCTTTGACAGCACAACTTCCTCCTGTTTCAAAGGGCCCCCTGGCCTTCCCCCCATTCCTGTAAAATATTTTGCAATCATTGCATAAAAGCAAGTTGGGCCTGATTGTGCAAAGCTGTTTCTGCAAGCACCTCATGCAACTTGTGTCAGAATTCTGCTCCCACCTTCAATAATTTTATCCATCACTAACAGGAACATCAGTCTTTGGGCAGTGTTCAGTTAATTACATGATTTCTTGAAAAGCAACCCAAAATCTGCTTAAATCTTCAGAGGAACAAGACTGTTTAAGTGTTTGAGTGTATTCTCCAAGCAGAGAAATGGAGAAAGGTTTTGCAGTTGATGATGACATGGAAAATTTCAGCTGCTCCAACACTCAGACTGAAATCTGAGTGAAAACAAAAAACAGCAGACTTGCAAAGAAATTACTAAAAGTTTGGGGCTGTTGTTTTGTTGGTTTTTTTTTTAGTTGATCAAGTCGTCAACTTTACCCTTCACTAAGTGGATTTTCTGCAGCATGGAAAAGAAAAATCTAAGGACAACACTCCAGTGATGATCGAGCTCTCCCCAGTGATGCAAGGCCAGGTCACACGTGGGACCACAAGGTCCCCGTTCCTCCTCCTGGGGGCCTGTCCTGTCCCACAGCACTCAGGGCATTGCCTCACCCTCCCCAGGGCTGACTGAAAGCAGGAACAAATTCAAGGTAAACTTCTTTTCAGCAGAACAGAACCTGCCAGGGGTCACGGTATGTGAGCACACATTCCTTCCACCCACAGCTCCCCTGAAATCCCACAGCTAACAACAATAATGATCAATCCTGCAGACTGGGAGAGGTTCCCCTCAACAGCCAAGTGTCCTCCCAGCTCCCTGCTCAAGGCCAGATTCCCTGCACTGCAGCAGCCTCCACAGCCCTGGAGGCAGCGAGGTTCCTTTTCCAATCCCTGCTTTTCCTGCATTCTGCAGCACGTGCACAGTGCTGAACCCTTGGCAGGCAGGAGGAACATGCACTGAGTGTCTTCTTGTCAGGGGAAGGAGAAATCTTGTCCAGAGCTCGTGTCCTTCTGCAGGCAGAGACATGAGGGGAAAACAAAACCTTGCTCTGCAGTGTGGGACCTGAACTAACAGCCCTGGGATGTGCAGTGGGTTTGGCTCTGTGTGTGTAAAAGGGAAAGGGATCCAAGAAGAGATCTGAGAGCTCTCAGTGTCATACCCAGATTGTTACTGGCACACAGAAACACCCCTGCAAGTGTTTGCATCCCTGGAAGGGTCCAAGGCCAGGATGGAGCAATCTGGGATAGTGGGAGATGTTCCTGCCCATGGCAGGGGGTGGGACAGAATGATTTTAAATGTCCCTTCCAACCCAGAGCATTCAATGACTCCATGGACAGCTTGTACTGGAAATATCTGGAATCTTCAGTCACACTGCTCAGCCTGTGGTTTCCCTCTGACCTCCTTCCTATGTCCCTTATCCAAGCTGGAGCTGAATTTCCAGGGATGTCACCCCCTGATGAATCCCTGGCACAGGGGAGCTGCAGGTCAGAAAAACGAATCCATTTCCCTGGGTTATCCCCCTTCTGTTATTCCCTGCTGTGTGATCCCCCTGTGTTATCATCACCCACGTGTGATGCCCCTGTGTTATCACTCCTTGTGTGATCCCCTTTGCGTGATCCCTCCTGTGTTATCACTCCTTGTGTGATCCCCCCTGTGTTATCACTCCTTGTGTGATCCCCCCTGTGTTATCACTCCCTGTGTGATCCCTCCTGTGTTATCAGTCCTTGTGTGATCCCTCCTGTGTTATCAGTCCTTGTGTGATCCCTCCTGTGTTATCAACCCCTGTGTGATCCCCTTTGTGTGATCCTTTGTGTTATCAATCCCTGTGTGATGCCCCTGTGTTATCAGTCCTTGTGTGATCCCTCCTGTGTTATCAATCCCTGTGTGATCCCCCTGTGTTATCACTCCCTGTGTGATCCCTCCTGTGTTATCAACCCCTGTGCGATCCCTTTTGTGTGATCCTTTGTGTTATCAATCCCTGTGTGATGCCCCTGTGTTATCACTCCCTGTGTGATCCCTCCTGTGTTATCAATCCCTGTGTGATGCCCCTGTGTTATCACTCCCTGTGTGATCCCTTCTGTGTTATCACTCCCTGTGTGATCAATCCCTGTGTGATCCACCCTGTGTTATCACTCCCTGTGTGATCCCCACTGTTTCATCACCCCATGTTATCACTCCTTCTTGATCCCCCTGGCTGATCCCCACTGTTTTATCACCCCCTGTGTGATCCCCATCATGTGAGCACTCCTGTATTATCACTCCCTGTGTGATCCACACTGGTTTATCACCCCCTGTTTTATCCCCACTGTGTTATCACCCCCTGTGTGATCCCCATCATGTGAGCACTCCTGTATTATCACTCCCTGTGTGATCCACACTGGTTTATCACCCCCTGTTTTATCCCCACTGTGTTATCACCCCCTGTGTGATCCCCATCATGTGAGCACTCCTGTATTATCACTCCCTGTGTGATCCACACTCTTTTATCCCCACTGTGTTATCACCCCCTGTGTGATCCCTCCTGTTTTATCACCCCCTCTGTTATCACACCCAAATCTTCCCAGGCGCCCTCACCATCCACCCCAACTGCATCAGCCCAGCTTGGAAACTGGGGCTTGGAGAACAAGAGGCCAAGCATGTTCAGAGCCTCAGCCCCAGTCTGGGTGGGATTTTGGGGTGTCTGTGCAGGGCCAGGGGTTGGACTGGATGACCCCTGTGGGTCCCTCAGGATATTTTGTGATTCCAGCCTTTGCAGCTGCAGCACAACCAAGCAGGGATTTTGCGATTTTAGGAAGTTTCCTGGCACTGTGAGGCAGCACAGGAGCAGCACCTGACTGCAGGGACTGCCCAGAGGGTTTGGGAGCCACCTCAGGAGAGGTTTGAGAGCTCAGAGCTGCCCCAAAATGCACCCAAAACCCCCCTGATTGCCTGGGCCTGAGCCCCAGAGCAGCTCAGCTCTCTCAGGGCTGTGTCTGGGAGCAGATGACACTCACTGCAAACACCAGAGCCCAGCTGGGATGGATCCACCTGGATCCCTGCAGAGCCACAACCCCAGAGCACAGAGAACTCCAGGAGGCTGAGGAAGGCACTGCTGCTGCCTGCAGGAATGTTCTGGAACACCGGGAGCACCAGCCCTGGGGCCATGGTGGGATGGGCTCCTGAGCATCCTGGGCTGGGCAGTGACAGTGACAACACCCAGAGCCTCTGGACAGCCCCAAAACCCCCCAAGGAATGGCACTGAGAGCCTGGGAATGCCCTCAGCTACGGGCAAGGCAAGGTGACCCAAAAATGACTCCACAGGGCATCGCCCACCCCAAAAATGACTCCACAGGGCATCTCCCACCCCAAAATGACTCCACAGGGCATCTCCCAAACCCAAAAATGACTCCACAGGGCATCTCCCCACCTCAAAAATGATTTCTTAAGGCGTCTCCTACCTCAAAAATGACTCCACAGGACATCTCCCACCCCAAAAAATAACTACCCAGGGAATCTCCCAAAAATGCCTTCACAGGGCTTCCTCCTCCAAGCCCCAAAGAATTCTTTTATAGGGCATCTCTCAACCCCCAAAAATGATTTCACAGGTTTTGCTCCAATCCCCAGAAATTGTTTCACAGGGCATCTCCAGCCCTCAAAAAGTTACACCACAGGGCATGTCCCAATCTTCCAAAAAATGACTTCATGGGGCATCTCCCAGCCCCAAAAATGCCTCCACAGGGCATCTTCCACCCCAAAAAAGAATTACCTGGGGAATTTCCCAGCCCCAAAAATGCCTTCATGGGGCTTCCTCCTCCCACCCCAAAGAATTATTATTATCTCAACCCCCAAAGATGATTTCACAGAGTTTGCTCCAACCCCCCCCAAATTATTTCACATATTTCCCATATTCACATATTTCATTATTTCACAGGGCATCTCCAGCTCCAAAAAATTACACCACAGGGCATGTCCCAACCCTCCAAAAAATGACTTCATGGGGAATCTCCCAGCCCCAAAAATGCCTCCACAGGGCATCTCCAGCCTTTCCTCCCACAGAGCCCCCGCCCTGGTTCCATGGAAACTTTTCCTCACTCGAGGCCTGTGTGTCCAGATAAGAGCAGTGATTAGAGGAACAAAACCAGTTTTTATCAGCTCCAGTGGTGAGCAGGCAGCATTGGCATGAAAAGGAGCAGAAAAAGCCTCTTGTGAGAAGATTTATCCTCCAAAGCAGACCCCCAGAGAGCTGGGAACACAGCTGAGAGCTGACATCCAAAAAAAAGAGATTGGGGAAGAATAAGAAGCTCCTCCCAGGCAGGCAGAATATCAGAATGGGGAGGGTTTGAGGTGAATTTATGGGAAATTAGAGCAGAGTCCCCATCTCTGCATCTCCTCCTGTACACTCCCAACTGTCTGGCCTGGATTTCTGGCTGCTCTTGCTGACGAAAGGGAATTTTTGGTGCCCTGAGGTGTCTCAGGCACAGATTCCTGCTCCCCACTGATGGCTCAGCATCTGGGAGCCATCCCTTTCCCCTCCACACATGGAAACATTCACGTCTCCCCCAAACTATTCACAGGCAATTTTCTCCTGACAGAGCTCCAAACTGGGAGATTTCAGGCCAAAAAAAAGGTGCCATTTATGTACTCATTCCCTGTTCCTGCCTCTGTTAAACTGATTACAAGAAATAGGGGCAAAACAATGATTAAAAAATTAAAAATAGGGAGAAAGAAGTAAATCCCCTCAAATTTTGGCAAGTGCAAGATGCCTCCTCTTCCCGAGGGAGTTCTCCTCCCCCTTCCCTGTGTCTTTTTGCAGAACCATGTCATAAATCAGTGATTTCCACTGGGTATTTCCCTTTTTCCCCTCTCCCCCACCATGATCACCCACAGAGGGTAAAACCACGACAGAATCTGCCAGGACTGGGAGCTGCTCCCAGGTCTGAGCGTGGAAAGGGAGCAAAGGGCCAAAAACAAATTAAAAAGGAGCAGCTCCCTGTTCTCAGTGCTGATCCTGAGCACAGAATCTTCATTCAAATCGATGCTGCTTGTTGAAAAGAATTGGATTTATATTTTACCTTTGAGTTTTGGAGAGGGAAGCAGTGACCACAGCATTCCTTAAAATGATTGAATGGCTCTGTTCCAGTCTCAATATTGAAATCGTTGTCAAAGAGTCAAATTTGATAGGGAGAGTTGAAACACTCAAGAGTCATTTTAATCTTTAAATTAAGAATTTTGTTTACTCTGTGGTTTACATTAAGGTATCATGAAAAATGTCCCAGTGAAGGACGAGGAGAAACAGCCCAAAAAGGGCATGGAAGCTCCACAACTGGAGCATTTTAAGAACATTTAATGCCAGTCTGTGATATTACAGCTCAAAGCAACATGAACTATGAACCAATCAGCCCTTCCCTCTCCTTTTCTACCATCCACTCAGATCAAGAACTCACTCAGGTTAAAAACTAAGGACTTTTTTTAATTATTATTCTTATTTTCCAGCAGGACCATGAGCACAGGTGCCTGGCCTGGCCCAAAGAGGAGCCAAAGCCAAGAGGTGAAACCAGCAGTGAGCAGCCAGAATTAAATGTTTCTTCTCCTTTTAGTGCTGCCTTGAGATGCTGGTGAAACCTGACCTTGATAAACTCTGCCTGGAACAGCACAGAGATGAGAAACCCTCTGCATTTCTGCATTTTAGCACTATTTTAAAAATTAAGAGGCAACAGCAGCCACTACACACCAAATCTGTGCTTTGGGGTGCAACAGGAGTTGAAAATACAATCTAAAATTTGAAAAATGATCTTGATTTGTTCCCGTTTTCCTCTCAAAGCTCCTCTGAGCTGCACCTACCTTCGTACATCTCCAGGATGTGAACGGTGTCCCCCACCTGCAGGGACAGCTCCACGTCCTGCACGGCCTCGTAGTTGTAGATGGCTGAAAAATGGGGAGAAAAGAGACAAATCAGAACCATGAGGGAATCAGCTCTGGGAATGGGCTCTCCAAAGGCAGGGCAGGGTTTGGGAAAAGGAACAAAGGGATGGAGTCACCCTGGGTATGGAATACACTGGGAAAGGGCACCATGTGTCAATCCCCAGAGTTTATCATGGACAAGTGTCACTAACAGACAACAAAGGGGGTTTTACCCCCCAGACAGGCCTGGGAGACCTTCTGGGGAGCTGAGCATTCCCACCTGGCCAAAAACCTGCCCACAGAGCCACCAGCACCTCAGGCACATCACTTCTGTAATTCTCATTTTTCAGTCTGTCTCAGGATAACTCCAGCACCAGAACACATCAGAAATGGGATGCTGTAATAAAACCCACCCCATCCCACACCAAACCACTCCTTCCCAAACCAAATCACACTTGTTTGCTGCCAAAGGCTCTCCCCAGCCAAGCACCAATTTTAGCACCAAAACTTGGGATTCTGTGTGAATTTAATCCCTCCCAAAGACGAAGTTAAGCTGGATGCTGATGGGATTTCCAGGGGGAAGAGGATTAAGTGCTGGAGTGCCTTTTCCCTGGGACTTGCTGCAGATTCACTGGGCAAAGCAGAGCCCTCCCTGGGGCCAGGTGAGAAAGTTTAGATGGAATTTCCTTTCAAACCAAGTAAAAAGGCATAAAATCAGTGAAAAGCTTTGCTGTGGTTCAAGGAATTGTCAGCAAAGTCAGAGCAGATCAAACCCAGACCGCCTGATTTATTTAAAATACTGATTTAAGAATAGACCACATCCTAAATGTAGCAATGAAATCCAAAATTTCAGCAATGAAATCTCCCCAAACACAAAGTTCCCATATTTATGTATCCCTAAGGAAATCCATTGGTGAACAAACACATTTGTTTTAAAGAAATCAAAAAAAAACCACCCAAACATTTTCAGAGGAGAATTCGTGAGACTTCCCAAGGTTTGTGTTTGAGGAGCTCTGGACTGGAAATGAAATAAATAAATAAAAACCAGAGCTCTTCGGCCAGGAAATTCCCATGGAGTGCCTCCCATTCCCATGGGGTGAGGGGCTCTGCCTCCTGGCAGGGCTCCAGCACAGCACAACCCCGGGGCTTTCACCACCACAAACTCTCCCAGATCAGAGCTTTCCTCACAAGATTGTGGCTACAAACATCCCAGCAGGAGCAGCCTGGGGATGTGCAGCCCTGCAGGATCCCTGACCCCAGGGCAGGGTTTGCTCCCTGGGGCCACAGACACATGGACAATGCTCTGAATCCATGATTTCCACAGGAATTTTACTGGATTTCTGCTCCTAAGAGCTGCTTCCACACCCACCTTCCTGTCCCTCCCCACAAAGGGGCTGCAAATCAGGATTTTAAAGCTGGCTGGTGAGCTGGGTGTGTGGCCCAGACACCTTAAACACCCCAGACCTGACCCAGAAGTAAAAATTCCATTCGCATTCTAATAGAAAAATCTGGATAATGTTCATGGCCAAAGCTGAATGTGAATGAGAATTGTGGAGTGGTTTTGGGTTGGGAGGGGACTTAAATCCCATCCAATGTCACCCCTGCCATGGCAGGGACACCTCCCACTGTCCCAGGGTGCTCCAGCCTGGCCTTGGGCACTGCCAGGGATCCAGGGGCAGCCACAGCTCCCTGGGAATTCCATCTCACCCTCACAGGGAACAATTCCTGCCCAACATCCATCCATCCCTGCCCTGTGGCAGTGAGAGCCATTCCCTGTGTCCTGTCCCTCCATCCTTGTCCCCAGTCCCTCTGCAGTTCTCCTGGAGCCCCTTCAGGCCCTGCAAGGGGCTCTGAGCTCTCCTTGGATCCTTCCCTTCCCCAGGTGAGCATTCCCAGATCTCCCTGGATCCTTCACCAGGTGAGCATTCCCAGCTCCCCTTGGACCCTTCCCCGCTCCAGACGAGCATTCCCAGCTCTCCCTGGAATTTCCCTTCTCCAGACAAGCATTCCCAGCTCCCCCTGGACCCTTCCCTGGATCCAGCTGAATTTCCCTTCTCCAGATGAACATTCCCAGCTCTCCCTGGAATTTCCCTTCTCCAGACAAGCATTCCCAGCTCTCCCTGGACCCTTCCCTGGATCCAGCTGAATTTCCCTTCTCCAGATGAACATTCCCAGCTCTCCCTGGAATTTTCCTTCTCCAGGTGAGCATTTCCAGCTCTCCCTGGACCCTTCCCTAGATCCAGCTGAGCATTCCCAGCTCCCCTTGGATCCGGGTGAGCATTCCCAGGTCTCCCTTCCCCAGATGAACATTCCCAGCTCTCTCTGGAATTTCCCCTCTCCAGGTGAGCATTCCCAGCTCTCCCAGCCCTGCAGAGGGGTTCCAGCCCCGGAGCACCCCCAGTTCCCCCCTGGCCTGGCCCCTGCAGGGCTGCTGCACCCGGGGATTCCCACACACAATCCCCACATGCCCCCATGGGTTTTTCTGGGACAATCACCCCTTATACAAACACCAGGCTGCATTTTTCCCATCAGCTGCTGCCCAGGGAAAGGTGGGTGGACACAGGCCCAGCCTTCCTGCTGGGAACACAGAGCTAATTGAGCCCCAAGAGCGCCAGGGAGGACCCAGACATCCCTTCCCCTTCCTGAAGATCACAGCAGCCACAAGACAGAACCAAGCCCTGCACTCCCCTTCCCTTCCCTTCCCCTAGCCTGCTCCACCAGGCAGGTTTCACATCCCAACATGCAGCATTTACAACCTGGAGGAACTCCCACATCAAAAAAACCAACCAAGAAAAGTCAATTTTATCTTTCCTCGCCCTGCCAGACTGAACTAAGCCAGAACAGAGGGTCACTGTCTGAAACCTCCTCCCTCATGCTTATGTACAAGATTATAAAAGACAAATTGCTGGCATATTTTCCCTGGGAACTTTGCTGGTTGCAAGGGATGTTTCCTGCTGCTGGAAGTCAGAGCTGTCCCCAGCCATCCCATCTGCAGGGATTTGTGCTGGGAGCCCCCTCCGTGACCTCTCGCTGACTTGAAAGGAAAAGGAAGCTTCGCATCACTAACATGGGCATGGTGTGGAAAAATAAAACCCCTTCACTTAAATCCTGACAGAGCAGCAAGAAAGGAAGAAGGAAAAATAGTACAGAGACTTTTGTATTCAAATTTGCAGCAATATCTGCAGTTAAGTCTTTTTGCTCCGAGCTAAACTTCAGCTGTGATTTTGCCCTTTGAAATTCACTTCAGAGTGTTGATCCTGCTCCTTTCATCATCCCAGATGAAAAGCAGCACTGAAATTGAGGAAATTTAATCCAAATAAGGAGGCAGAGGTGGAAAACACGAGCCTGGGTTTGTTTAATGATCATTTCTTTGAGCGTGACTGGAGGCAATGTCTCGTGTTTGGTTTAGTGCTTCAGTTTGGTTAAAAGGTGAAGAATGTGTTTTCCAAGGGCACCCAGCCCATGGAATCCATCAGGTTTGGAAAGGGCAGCAGATAATTCCAGGAGCAGTTGATTTTATGGCACAGCCAGGGCCAGAATTGAAGATAAGCAGCAATTTTCACGCTCCAGGGCAGAGGGTGATTCCTCAGAGGGGCTGGAGGAGGAACCCTGAGGGCATTGCACAACCTGGGGGCTGCTCTGCCCCAAGGTCACCCCAAAGCAGGGACTGCAGGAGTGGCACAGGAAACCTGGCAGAGCCCGGGCTCCCCAGGGCTCAGGAGGGTGGCACAGGGAGCAGCTCTGGCCTTGTCACTGCCCTGGGCACGGGTCAGCCCCAGCGCACAGCCCTGAGCCAGGGCCACCCAGCAGCACTCACAGGACGGGCCCTCAGCACCAGGCACAAAACAACCAGTACAATAACAACAGCACAATTCTACTGCAAGCAAAAACCCCCAAACACACTTTAAACCCCCAAAGCTCCTCTGTGCAAGAGCCCAGGGAGAAACCTCAGTCTGCAACAGGTCTGTGAGCAGCTCATGGAACCTGAGCTGGGGCTCAGGGAACCAGGGACAGATGTGGCATTTTCAGGGGAACGGCTTCAAAGGGACACAGAGGAGGGTTAGATGGGATACTGGGAAGGATTTCCTCCCTGTGAGGGTGGGATGGATTCCCAGAGCAGCTGGGGCCGCCTCTGGATCCCTGGCAGTGCCCAAGGCCAGGCTGGAGCACCCCAGGACAGGGGAAGGTGTCCCTGCCATGGCAGGGTGGGATGGGATGAGCTGCTAAGTCTCTTCCAACCCAACCATTCCATGATTCCACGTTTCTATTAACTCCTAGACCCCATTTTTCCCACAGATTAATTCCTTCCCAAGACTGCCCTAAAGGCCAAGCTGGGCTGAAATGCTTCAAAATGCAAAGAGAACGAAGCAGCAAACATCACACACAATTTCTGTGTAACTCAAATCAGAAGGAAATGGAATATTTCCCTCCATGAGGGCACTTGAAATGTGAATTACTGGCTGGAAAACAGAGCCCCTGCAAGATCCATTATCTGTGAGTTGGCTCTGAAGCCCCTGCCCCACCCAGCACAAAGACACAACAGCCCTGTCCAAATGCCACGGCCTGCTCCCCCTGCCCCCCATCTGCCAGCAGAGGCTGGGGCTGCCCCCCAGAACAAAGGATCCCATTCAGGAGCCCAGCCCCAGCTCATTCCATCCCTCAGCCCCACAGCCAAACGCCAGAGCCAGAACCAGAGTGATTTGAGCTCTGCTGCAGCACCCAGGAATGGCCTTTCTGCAGGACAGCCCTGCTTGGAGGAGCCCGGGATGGTCCCCGGTGCCAAGATCCAAACACACAGTGGCTTTATTGAAAAAACAAGGAACTACCCAAGGAATTCATTCTTCACAAGAACAAAGTCTTTTTTATGTATGGAGCAAAAACATTCTGGTAACTTCCCAGGAATTTGTGTCCGACAAACTGAGAATGGCTTAATTAAGATTTAGATGTCAGGCTACTTCTGTGTCA